ACGCATAGGCGGTTAAAGTCAACTTAACAGCGCCTTAAACTTTAGCGGACCGTTAGTTAATCGAACCTTTAACTACGAGTTGGTTGAACCGGGCATAAGTCATTCAATTTTGAAATATTTAAAAATTTAATTATTTGACATGTTTTTCGTCCAACGAAAAAAAACGTTGCACATCACTCCACATCACCCTAGTGTTACTTAAAATGTCAAAAATTTAACCCCCACTACTTTCTACAATTGTTTTGCTTCCTCGTGAGGAAGCTTTGTAGTCGTTTAATTTACAAAATTTTTAAAAATCCTTTTAACAAATTTTCTTCTATATGGGACTATGTTATATAAGACCCTGAACAATTGTCCGGATGTATGTATGTGTGTGTGTGGATCCCGATTTTTGTGAACACGATAATTCGAAGAGGTTTTAACGAATTTGGCTAAAATTTGACAGGCATATTTATCATAAAAATATCTCGAAATAGATTGATAAACTTTAAAAAATTCCCAGAAAAATTTTTTTTTTACTTTTTTTAAGTTGCTTATTAAAGTTCATATATAATAAAATCTTATTCTTTGCTTCAAGACGAATCGATTGATATATACAAAGTATAAATTTTATGAGAATTTATAGAGTTAATCACAATTAAAGCTGAAAAATTCTCATTTTTATCAAAAAATGACTTTTTTCCGCAAAATTATGTTGCTGTATAAAAAAATCTTACTCATTTATTTATAAAATCTTATTCTTAGCAATAAGACGGATCGATTGGTATAATTATATAAAGTATATATTGTATTTAAATTTATAGAATTAAAACCAATTATAGACAAAAAGTTTGCACTTTTAAACAAAATTCTTTTTTTCTTAAAAATCATGTTGCTGTACAATAAAATGTTATTATTTATTGAAAAATAAATCAAAAATCTTATTCTTTGCATCAAGACGAATCGATTGATGTAAATGAAGTATATATTCTATTGAAAATTATAGAATTAATTACAATTAAAGTTGAAAAATCCACTTTTTTACTAAAAATTTTTTTGTTTATTTAGATTCATATTACTGTATAAGAGAATTTTATTCTTTCTATTAAGACGAATGAACTTTATTTTATAAATGTTAAATTGTATTAAAAATGATTTAAAAATGAAATATACTTATCGTTAACGCTTCCTCCACGAAGAAGCAAATTTTTTTTGCTGATCATAAAGAGGAAGCAAAATGTTCATGTAATGAACATCTGGATTTACAACTTGTTTTAAATGAGCTAATATTTTACAAATTTGTTACTGTCATATAGCACAACCATTTCTTAAAGTAACAAGCCAATCCCAAGACTTTCAATTTTTGGCTGGGACGTTTGAGAATTAAGGGGAGGTTCTCATTGCAAAGGCCAAAATAAACACAAACTTTGACAATTTTTTGCGAGGAACGGCTATGACTTAGCGATGTAGTTCTTTTTTCTAAATAAAGATACATTCTTGAACTTTTAAAACATATATTTCATTTTAAAAAGAATGCAAAATGGCGGCCAATATGGCGCATCTAGAAAATAATGTTTTTTTAAACATGGAAAACGGTGGGCATTCTACACTGCGCAATTTTTAGTCTAAAACAAAAACTCAAAATTTTTTATAAAGATGACATCCTAAAGAATAGGTTATACCTATAAAATAGTTAAAAAGTTAACAAAATGACAAAATGGCGGACACATTTTTAAAAAAACTGCGTTTTTGCATTATTTTTCTATATTTGACCTCTTGTAAAAATCTCTATTGTTAACAATTTTACCATATTATAGGTATAACCCCAGTAGAATTTAGTTACCTTTAAGTAGCCGCAAACCCGAAGTTGATTGATTAAATAGTTTAGACGCTACGATGCCCACCAGTTTGAAAAATCTTGTTTCGAGAAAAGCGTTTAAAAGCGTTTAAAGTTTGAGAAACATTTTTGTGCAATAATTAAATTCTTTCCAATTCTTTGTTCAATTTGCGTATATGATAAATATCTATAGGTATTTAGGGTCACTCTTTACGATTCTGAGGTCAGATTTGCAAAATTTTTAAAAATCGATTCGATTTGCCTGACATTTGTTATTCAGTGTTCGGGATGCCGGTGAGTTCAAGTCTCCATAAAAACGAAAATATTCTTCGGATCAAAAAATCGCTATACACACATATTCTACATATATATAGCTTTCAAAAAATACAATAAAAAAGAAATAAATTTTTTTGATTCCCGCAATGGCAACCTCCCCTTAACGCCCCATATTTATTTTATTCAAACTTAGGCGTGAGTCTTAAAAATTATGTGCTACTTTTCAATGTAAGTGTTTATGTTTATTTGAAAATTTCTTTTTTTACCACACATCGTTAAAAATTGTTTTGTAATATTAATTAATTGTCGTTTAATAAGCTTGTTCAGAATAGGGTAAGTGCATCAATTGCTGCGGATCCTTCAATTGCTACGCGTTCGTGAAATGTGTAATTATTTAACACTTAAAAAAATATTAATGTTTAAAAAACGTTGAAAAAATTATTTTGAACAATACGTGATACAATTGTCTATAAAGATATACATTTAAAATAAAATTACTTTAATTATTTAACTTTAAATTCTGCCTACCGCAGAAACTGAAACATGCATGTGAAATACATGTGCTTAAGTTGCGCAGAATTAGACGCTTTTTATTTTATATTATTTAATTAATATTGTTTTACAACAATTTAAATAAATTATTTTATGTTTTTTAATTGTCTGGTGGTCATATTGAATTAATTTGAACTGATTTAGATCATGTGCAGTAAAGGAATAAGAAAATAAACGTCCTTTTTTAAAAGATTGTATTACTTTGTTAACTTTGATAAAAAAAAATTATTAACAATTAAAATCGGAAAAATCGGCTTCGAGGGATGTCTTAAGAATTTATTACCCTTTAATTTAAAACAAAGAATACTCAAATCGGTTAAAAGTTGTAGGCTGTATACATTTTTGAACAGTAAATTTTAAAAAAATCCCACTATGTGGTGCAACTACCCTAGATGTTTTACTCATGACTTTCACAGTTGAAAAAACTAGAAATTTCTAGCCCTATGTACAGTTTATGAAAAAAATAACAACAATTAATAGTTTAAACAATTCAATAGATTTTAATACTTTTTTCATATATTAAAAACACTCAAACATTATTTTAATAGGGTTTTTTGATTAATTTTCTTAATTAAAGAAGCTAAAAAATATTTTTGACGATCTTTTAATACTTATTGTTATTAAAAAATTTATAAAAACAAAAATTCAAAAATCGAGTTTGTAAATTGCGACCTGTAAAGTGATTTGAAATGAAAAAGTATTTTGTGGAGCGCTTGCACGTCGCTCTTCAAAATTATGTCATTTGCTCAATTTTTAAAGGTACTACAATTTTTTTCTGTTAATTAATGGAAATGTTATTATACCACCCGGCTATCACAAATTATGTATATAGACATAATGCAAATTTAAAAAGTTTGTTTTAGGTGGACCAGTTTAGAAATTTTGACTCATAAGTGTAACCCATGAAGTAAGCATCCGTAAGGTGTTAAGTGGGGGTATTCATGAAATCTCGACGTTTTTGGGTCCCCTGAACCCGAAAAACATTGTCTGGCGAGTACGTCTGTCTGTCTGTCTGTATGTATGTATGTCCGTCTGTAGACCAAAATGTTGTTCCCACGATAACTCTTTAAAAACTTATCGGATCGTTTTTAAATTCAACACACTTAAAGTTGGTGTAAAAATGAAGGCTAAGTTTGTTAACCAGCCATTTTCGTTGAAAACTACAATACCCTTCTAATTGCAATTAAACTTATAGAAAATGTACTTAGTAGTTTTCTTCTTGAAGTTGGGCAAAAAAACATGAAGATATTTTATGATTTTATTAATTTTAGCAACAGTTTAAACAAATAATTGTTATTTAGAAATGAAGTGCTGGCTGCAATAAGGGGACGAACATCTTTATTCAATTCTTCTTCTTCGTCACATTTAAAATATTTCCTCCTGATATCAACCACAGCTTTATAATTTATAAACAGATGATATTTATCAAAAATTGGTCTTCGTTCTTCACAGTTACATTTGCATTCCTTAGAAAACTTAAAACAATTGTTTTTACTCAAAATCCGAGTTTGAAAAACGTTTAACATTCTCACTTGCGCAAATATCTTTGTAATCGAAAGAGGTAATCTCGCTTTCAAATAAGGTTGAAGACCATCATACAGAGACAATTGAGAATAACATTTTAGAGAAGAGTAGGTCTGGAGTCTCATTAAATAATCGCCAACCAAAATATTTTCAAATTTCTTTAATAATTTATTTCGATTACTTCTCAGAAGATCGGCGGACAAGGAGTTCCAAATCTCCTCAGCTCCTATGCTTTTAAAAAAGATCTTTTTAACCTGAAAGGCCCAATTATATCTTTCATCGACATTATCATTACAATCTGCTAAAAATTTAATTCTTTCAATACATATTCTTGGATAGCGCTCTTCGTCTATATCGTAGATTTTTACCAGCCAATTTAAAACCATCTTAAAAATTCTCAAAGAAATGTGCCTACTGCCAGTCTCTATTCGAACCGCGTAATTTGGGGTGTTCCTAGGTAGATTAAAAAGTAGATCGATTTATAGAAAACTGTTTCGGATGTATTTATAATAATATTCATAATGCCTTGTCTTCGAATATTGGACCAGCCATCCATTTGAATTGATATACTGAAGGCAGCTTCAATTTTTTCATCTACAATTTTTTTGACTCGAGAATACTCTGTATTCAACAAATTGTTTGATAATTCGTAACGGGACGGAATTTTGAAAGAAGGTTTTAATTTTTCAAAGAACTGTATCCAATGATTATTTTTGAAAGAGGAGTGCTGGAACAATAAACTGTTCTTGCCAGCAGAGTGACCAATTCTTTCTAAATAGACAAGTATAAAATTTAATTTATTTTTACAAACAAATTTATATATCATATAAATAATTAACACTTACAAAATTTATTTCTTTTTACAAACACATTCATATATAACATAATTAATGTACGCTTACAAAATTAATTTACTTTTACTATCAAATTTATATGAAGAATGTACACGTACTTGTTGCACTACAGTTACTGTTTTATCTCTACTTATGAAATTTTCAATTGATTGATTCAATTTTATTTTTTTTTTCACTGGACAGTCAATATGAATTCAATTTCGAGAGTCTCCAGAGGTAGAATCATTTTCAGCATTTTCAAATGTTTTCTTGTCATTAGTGGCATCTAATGGTCCACTTACTGAATCCTTTATTTCAGAAGGGCACTTCAAGGACATTTTGATATGTTTAGTTAACCGCGTTGTATTATTTACTGAAATCCATTTGCAATAAATACATGTCGCTTTTATTGTCGACTTATTATTTTTTCCCTTAACAGCTGATTTAGAAAAATACTTGTGCACTGAATATTTCTTTCGAGACATAATTTTAACATTTGTTAAAAGAGTTTAAAATTTAGTAACTATTTCGTATTTAGGATTCGTATTAGCCACCGAAAATATTGAAAGTTACCTAACCTAAACTGATAATTGCGCCTGTTACTGAAACCATTTTTTTCATAATTTATACGATTTGAGCTTTTCATTTAAGTTGTCTAGACATAAAGATTTATTTACAAAACTAAAACGTACAAAATATCCTGTATGTCGTCCTTACAAACACGCTTAAGCAGATCATGAGCTATATCCGCAAAATAATTTTGAACAATGTAAAAATATGCACTAGATTCTAAATCGAGTTGTCTTTTACTCCAGCCTTGTTTTGATTTTTAAAATCCTCAGCTTCATATTGCTCAGGAGTTCTTAACAATTTCTTTCGAATGGGACGATTTTTCTTACTTTCGTTTTTGCTCATTTTACATAGTTTACAATAATAATTTGTATTATGACCTTCTATAAATCCACTCGCACTGCGAGCTTCATTGTCTCCGCTTTATAACCCTAATGCAAAATAAACTCTTATTTCTTTCTATTCTTCTTTTCTTTTAAATCATATTCTATTTTTAATTCTCCAAGAAGATAAGCTGCTAGGTCCAAAGTAGTTTGCAGAGTTATCCTCAGCCCTTCTGCAGTTTCATGCGTCAAAAACCACTCGAAACTCTCGTGCAATATCTATAAATATATAATTAAAGTTAATGAATAACGTCAGGATAATAAATAATAAATAAAAATATAATAAATATTTTCAATGTTTTAATAGTTAATGTATATACCCTAAGATCATCAAAATCGAGTTTAAGGGCAGTTTCTATAGCGACTCCTTTTAAAGCGTTAATTCTTTCGTAAAAATTAGCAGTAGCTTCGCAATTTTTTAAACTGGTTTCATATGACTTGTAAAATCTGAGAGCACGAGCAACAGACTTGCTAAATACCTAGATGCAAATAAAATAATTCAAATAAAGTGTTCTAATATATAGAATATAATTATATTCTATATTTATTTCTTAAGAAATAAATATAAATATTTTTTAGAAATATAAATAAACCTTAATCTTTTCAAAAAACTTACTTGAGTAGCCAATGATACTCTTATTCTTAGAAAATTATTAATTTTCAAAAAAGCATGAGAATCATTTAAATTAGGGCACAATCTATTTGCTTTTGGTTGGAGTTTGTCTATATCGTATAAAATTGTAATATATCCCTAATCAATAGGATTGTCATCTGGTACCTGGATGAATTTAATTAAAAGATAAAAATGTCAATTGATAATTAAATATATGTAATTATGATAATTAAGACATTTTTATTACAATCAACTTTTACCATACTTGAAACATATTTTACCTTCGAATCGTTCTAACTTGAGGCAATGGCTGGTGAACGCATATTTAGAATTAATGACTGGATAATAAATTCATCAGAATAACGTCTGTCTCTTGAATTTTGTGTAGCAGCTGCTTTAAAAATTTCATGAATGGCAGTCTTTTGTTAGGACTAATTTCTCCAGTTTCATTAATTAAATCATCCAACTTTTGTTAACTCTTATCAAAAATCAAGAATTCCGACAAATACATACCACATGATAAAATTCATATTTCATCGACCTGCTCTATGTTTCATGTTAAATTGGTAAAATGACAATAAAATATCTTGCTATCGATAAATGGAGTAAGAAACCTTATTTGTAAAGAAATAACTATTGAAGTATCAAATAATTATTTTATTTATTTCATATTTCAGATCGAAAGAAACTGGAGCCGATGAAAATTAAAGACTTGATCAAATCTTGTAGTGGTAAGTTATTTTATTTTATAGTATAGTATTGTATACTGGTCATTTTCAGTAAAAGTTTCACTCAAATTTTTTTTTGAGGAAAACAATTTTTTTCGAATTCTATATGAAAAATAAGTAAATACGTGTTTTTTTATTTTTCTATTTGATCAAAATTACGGAAGTTATAATTTTTTTAAATTTAACGTTTTTAGAAGCAAAGGACTTTTGAAACTCTTTTTTCTCTGTTATACCAAAAGATAAAAAATAATATAAGATATGAAAATTATTGGTTTTTTCTTGAATATTTCGAATATGTAATAAAAAATAACATTAATAGAGCGGAAAGTGTTCTTTAGGGTTTAAATGATATTTTAAATTATGTCAGTCATTGCACAGACTTTAGAGAACGAAATTAAGAAATGAAACCACTTCAAAAATCCATTTCATTAGTAAGGCGTTTGTTTTGTTTTGTAATTAAAGGTTAATTTTTTAACAAGTGTAAAGGCGAATGAAAATTTTCCAATTTTTTATTATTTATAACACAGGACCACAAAATTTTTTAAAAAAAAGTATTGACCGGACAATATTTTCTATATGTTTTTTGGGTCGCTGAATTCGAATCCGAACTCAGTTTTCCGCCATCACGTCAAGTTTCTTCACAAATTAATAAAATTCGAAGAAAACTGACTGTAAACAAGAATTTAAATAAAAATAAGCAGAAGATTCTATTAAAAAACAACTTTAAAACACTGAAAAAATATTATATAATGTTAAAAAATCAAAGAAACTCGTAAATATTCAAAATTTCAGATGGCCGATCCAATATGGCGTCGATTTTTTTAAAATTCACCCAATTCGCCTGAAACTTGTTACTCGGGGGTTCTTGGGGTTGCTAAATACGAATTTCACCTCAGTTTTCAAAAATTCAAAATGGCGGATCCAATATGTCTGACCAATTTTTAAAAAAATTGTTGGATTTACCTGAAACGTTATGCTTGGGGGTTTACGGGGTCGCTGAATACGAATTTAACATTAGTTTTCAAAAATTCAAAATCTGAGAAATTTTTAAATAATTCGTTAGCTATTTTGGATCCGCCATTTTGGATTTTTTAAAACTAAGGTGAAATTCGTATTCAGTGACTCCAAAAACCCCCAAGTAACAAGTTTCGAATAGACCTTTTCATTTAAGGAATCTGTACTGCGCAAGCGCGGAGTATATATATATAACTTCCGACAAATTTTCGAGCACTTTTTGTACAAAATGCACAGTGCCAATAGTGAAAAGTAATTAAAAAATATTACTAATGAATGTAGAAAAAAAAATTAGCGTGTATTAAAAATGAGCAGTATCCCTGAGAAAAATAATCCACAAAGGAAAAAAATTGATGCACAAAAAAAATGTTTGTTTTGGGAATTGCAAAAGTGATGCTCGTTGCAAGTCTTATTTGACTAAAAAATTATTACTTTATTTCTTTCACAAAACCGTTTAACATTTAGAAAATGAAATATTAGGAATGAAAATATTCGAAGTAATTGCAAAACTTGTCAAGTATGTCGAAAATGAGACCTGTTGGTAAGGTTATGTTCATAACATAACATAACCTTATTTACATGTAAACAATATAGACTTTTTTACCCTTTAAACACTGACTTCGTCTTTATAACCATATTTTTAATTGACAGACAGTATTTTTCTCTACCTGTTCAAACATTAATTTTGCTTCTGGAATATCATTTTCATCGAGTTTTTTATTTGAATTGTTATTAGCACAATATACATTCTGACACAAAGTTGCTCGAAACTTTTGAAATCGCGCCGTCTATCATGGCGTAGCTTCAACTTCCGGTCTTAAATGAAAAGGTCTATATATCTGATAATTTTTTTGGTTATCGAGTTCTAGTTGACGGATTTTAAAATTAAAATATGCGTTTTTTTCGTCTTGAATTGCACTATTTAAATATATTTTTTGGTTTTTTTATTTTTTATAATTTTTTATATAATTTGTTTATAAAATGTTAATAAACAAATATGTTCTTCACGTCCTAACAAAAAAATTAAAATTGTATTGTATTCCTTAAATGTCTCCGAGTATAAAACCGTTTCGAAAAAAATGAGCCTCAATTAGAAAAAAAGTCATTAATTTAAAGCTGCAGCTGTGTAGGGCTTTATATGACTTTTAACTCGCCCCGCGCACATTGGCATTTTTTACAATTTACTGTTCAAAATTGTCTGTAACCTACAAATTTTATCGGATTTTCATGGGCTTGGTCTTAAATTAAAGGGGATAAAATTTCTAAGAGATCCCATTAAACCAATTTTTGAATTTTAAATTGTTTAAGGGAGAGTCTCCAGTTGTGAGACAATCAATTTTTTTTAACGATTGGTTTATATAAAAACATTTCTTTTTAAATGAGCCAACTTTTTCGTGTACGCCGAAGCGGATATATAAACTGTTTTTGTTAAATACCAACACTGTGTGTGATAATCGACTAAAAAGCGTTTTTTCAATAAATGCAAAGTACTTTTTTTACAAGTTAATTAATTGGAAAAGGTAAATGTAATGCATTTTCTTTTAGTGTTTTCCTTATATTTTGTGATGCAATTTTGCATTGTTCCAATCTACGGTTGAAAATAATTTAATTTTCATTTTTCAAAATAGCGCCAATTTCTGGGTGTGAGACACAGCATATCACCAGTTGTGAGACGGTGTCAACACCCATCTGGGCAGCATAAAAAATACGACTTTGCAGGCATACTATTTAAATGTTGTTTTGATTTTTTTTCTAGTATTTTTGGGCATGTCAAGTGGAAAAAAGTCAATTGATTCAGAAGAAATCAATTTTAATGCTCTTGTTGAAGCTATTAAATTGTGTTTTTTATAGTCATATTTTGGCGAATAAATAGAGTAGAGGGGGGTAATGTAGTGCAGGGGGTAATGTAGTGCACTGGCTTTACTGACTAAACAAATGAATTGAATTACTTGCCGTTGGTATAATAGGGTTAAGGTATCAAATAATAGTAATGTATATCATTTTGGCTTTATTGTGCTTCTTCTAAAAGAAGTTGTGGCGTCACTTCAAAAACACTAGATTTCGAAACCATATTTCCGTTTTTTAGTGACTTGAAAAAAATGTGAGGCTCGTTAAAAAAGTATCAGGAAAGTGATTTTTCCATGTAAAATTTACTTCTGAACACAAATTTAGTATTGTTTTGATGTTTAATTTTTTTTTTATTGAGATATTGAAGTCAACGTGAAAAAAGTGCTTGGGGGCATTGTAGTGCACGGGGTTGGGGACAATGTAGTGCAATTATACAGAGTACCGTAAATATGTATTATTTAACCATGTTTGCTTTTTGCAAATTTTTGCAGTTTTCTTTCAGTTTAATCTAACACAGGACCAAAGAAATCTCTAGTTTATAGTGCTATCCACGAGATGAGATGATACCATGCAAAGTCTCGATCTCGTCTCGGTTTTTACATGCAAAGTCTCGTCTTGTGGGCATCACTACTAGTTTATAGTTTTTTAAGTTTCTTATGTTCCTAATGTTATATCTAATAAAATAAAATCGTTTATGATATATTCTCTGCTTTTTATTCGACTAAGAAAGTGGTGCACTACATTGCCCCACAAATTTTAGAATGTCGAAAAAAAGTGCTTTCAGTTTTTTGGATATAGAAAAGCTCCATCTACATCTACAAAAAAATAATGTACACCATAAATGTAGCTAGAAGCATTGTCTTTCCAACGAGTTCTTAATGATCAAAATTGGTTGAAAATTGCGACCATAGGAGTCTCCGAAAGAAAAGTGCACTACATTACCCCCTTTCTTCTCTATTATTATTCAGTATATAATAATATATATTATTAATATATTTAATTATTTCTACTAAACATAACGTTTTATGTCAAACTTATTAAATTTTAGCAATTTTTAATGAGTGTCTCACAACTGGAGACATTTTTTTTTGACAAAAGCAATGTGCTCGGAAAATGTATCGTAAAATTTTTTGAGTTCATCGAAACACTACACTTTCTTTCAATAAAAGTTGCGTATTTCTGTTACCTTTCGAACGGTGTATTTTATTTACACGGAGAAAAAGGAATAGTTGACATATCCAGATACATGGATATCACAGCCATATTATATTGAAAAATACGGGATATCCATAGTTAAGGTTGCTTCATCCATATTCTATGGCTGGCTGTATATTGTTGGAGCAGCAAAAGACCTATGGTTGGGTGATCCATAGTAATGGAAATGGGAAACAAAAAATTGGAATCACTCAATTAATTAAATTCAATGTCACTTGAGATATTTTATTATTATTTTATTATTAATTTCTTTTCTTACAAAACTTTTTTTTTATATATTATTCTAAAGTCCAAACTTTCAGAGTATAACTCCTTGAAAACATTTTTTTGTATTTAATACTGTCCAAAAAGATCCAGAATACTGTAATCATTTTACAAAATGAAATTATAATAGTATATTAAGCAACAAGGGTATAAAGGCAGCCATTTGTTTACGGTGATTTTTGTAAGAAAAGAAATTAATTTTGATATTTTTCCAACTGATTTTCCAGACAATTTTCAAAAAAAGGTGTTATTAAAGAAAATTTTGGGTACTTCCAATTTGTTCAGAATAATACAGTGAAATGAAAAAAAAAATATTTGCTAAGAAAAAGAATTGATAAATTAATATTTTTCAACGCGATTTTCGAGTACATTACAAAAATGGGGATTATTTAAATAAAAGGGCATTATTTGAATAAAAGCGCTTATTTCCGAAAACGATTGGTACTTGGAATTTGTTAAGAATAACATAGTGGAAGGAAAAAAAATATTTGCTGAGAAAAGGAATTGATCTTGACATTTTTCCAGGGGATTTTTGAGTTAATTATTAAAAAAGGTTTTTCGTTGCTGTACCAACGTTGTAAACTGCAAACATGTATTTTTAATAAAAAGTATTACCGAGAAAATATTTTGAGATACTTTTTTTATCTCGGTGCTTGTTGATGGTAAATTATTGTTGTCAACTAATATGTTCAAGTTCTCTTTTCTTTGCGACGAATTGCTGTCAACGAAATTCCCATCATCACTAACTATGAACTCTTCAACCACCTTCTAAAATGAAACGTGAATTAGTATATTGCATGTATACTTTGATTATATGTTTTGAGAATTCATACTTACATAATCAGCTACTTCCTTCTGTTTTCTGATTAACATCATAATTTTTTTTCGTGGACCTATCTTTATTTTCATTGAACTTAAATCAGCTTCAGTGAGTTCCAGAAATGACAAGCCATCTATCCCTTCATCTACAAACAAAGCAATAATTAGGAAGCAGAAAAAAGTTCAGCTTTCACTTAATTTTGAAAATTAAATGTTAACGTTAAATATTTTTATGAAGCTAAAACTTGCTCTCAGTTATCACCATATACTTAATTCTTCAAAATTTAATGTTCGTTGTAAGCAAAAAATATTTTTAACTGTAAAATACAATTTTAAAAATAAGTGGAGACTGATAACTCAGTGTCAGTTTCAGCTTCATACAAAACTTAATTTGTTTTTAACAACCTTTTCTATAAAAGAATATGTCGAGGACAAATATATAAGTTATTATCAGAAGTTCCATTACTCCAACAACAAAGTGGCTTGAAATGAGCCAAATCGTAGACTGATATAAAACGAAAAAACTCAATGTTATTAAGGGATTCAATGCAATAACCATTTAAATCAATGTCAAGAAATGATGTTCGATAAACTGAAATTAGTAGATAAATTTCCTTTTCCCTTAGTACTATGATTTCGACAATGCGTCCAAAAACAGGTAAATTATCATCTCGAGTGTGTGCTACTTCGAGGCACACATATAATCCTCTTCGATATTCTGTGCCGTCTAATCGAATAGATGATGAACAGAAAACTTCATCAGTGTCATTATATCCAAAATCGTGCAGTTTTTCTCTACTTAAGGTATTATCTACCAAGTCAGTGTAGCCATTTAATACTTCTAATCTATGTAAGTTTACGTTCCCAGTCCCCCATTTTGCACATTGTTTACACTGCGAAACCCTTATGAGCGTTTTTGCAGGATTCTTAAAATTGTGTACATTCTGAGCTCGCAATTTTAATTCTGCATGGTTTCCTTCAAATCGGCAGCAGTTGTAATAAGCAATTGGACCAGCCCATTCAATGGTTTCTGGATAGTGAGATAAGTGATGAAATTTATTTATTAAATTTACATCGGGAAACAGCCTTTTAAACATGGTAAAGAGGTCCTTGATTAGTGCCCTTAAATAAGGCATTGATGAGTTCGACAATTTTGGAGCGAAAACCAGTTCCATAATCCTAATTAAAAGAACAACTAAACCAACGCACTCATTATTGGTAGCAGTGACTTTTTCGTACACTAAAAATGGAAAAGACCGAACTAAGAGCCACATTTGCATTCCTTTCTGATTTAGTGTATGCTCATGTTTTCGAAGCATTCCTTCAGAAAAATTTGCAGAAGGCTTATTTTTCATCTCCACGTATCCATAATTAAACGAGGATACTTTTGAATTGAAGTATTCAATCGTGAAAACTTCCTGCACTACTATGAGTTCATGCAATACCAACTTTAGAACAACGTGACATATTCCTTGCAAAAAGTCATGAAAAGGATCAAAGATTTTATTTTGTGAAATATGAAAATATCTCGACATATTTAAACAGCAGTCACCCTTTATACCAGTCTCTCTCATTGATTCTGTAGAAAAATTCTTTATCTTTATATATGCAAGGTGCTCGATAAAAAGGTTTTTAGTTCTTTCGATACCGATTTTAGTGGAACCATTATGCAAATCTTGTCTGCTATATAAACAATTTCTGCAAAATTTTTTAGCAGCTGGACCAAGAAGATTAAATACTTCATGTACTGCAAGTCCACCACCGCAAAATGCAGCAATAGAAGCTCTCATGACGTATTCGGTATTTCCAATTTGTACTTTTACACCTTCATCACTTTCTAATTTCAATAAATCACTCAAAAAAGGAGCAAGTATTTTTTCAAATCCGTATTTTCTGACATCAGCATCGCTGCAAATAACAAGGACATGAATGCTACTGAGCTCGGAGTTCATGTGGGGAGGCAAATTTTGAATTTGATAATAAAAGCAACCTAATTTGTGTACACAGGTTTTCGAACCTAAAGGGTTTACTACTTCGAGCTCATCATAATAAATTTTAAGTCTTATAGAATTTTTAAACCGACTAAATAAAGGATGCTCTTTAAAATGTTGTCCATCGACGAATGAACCGAGTATTCCATCTGGCGATTTATTTTCATTTTCAATGGCTTCACGAATTGTATCATTCGAGATCAACATTTTCAATACATTTATGATAGGTACATATTGGAAAGTTTCCATTACCATTTTCGGAACATATGTACAAGTTTTTTTGTCGAGAATATTATCCATGCGATACCCTAGAGGAATTTCCTCGGCATCAATGTAATTATATACATGTCTGAGAGCCTCAATTTGTTCGTCCAGTGTTTTAAGTCCTTTAAAGGGACTTTCGAAGTCGAAAACATCCAATAACTCCTTTATTTCTTCATTATTCAGCAATTGACTGTCCTTGAAATATTCGAATATTTTTCCTTTCAGAAAATCGCGAGTATGTAGTGTAAGTAATTCACACTCATCAAGAATACTGGTTACCATACTTCCAGTCACCGACGGATTACATTGCAATCGACTGATCATTCCAATTATAAAATTTTTTAAGTCAAGTCTAGGTATTTCAATCACATTTTCCCTCATTTCATTATTCAATTCCCGTTGCTCATTATTTTCATCATCCCCATTATCATTATTAATATTAAAAATACCAACAAGATCTGGTTCAGCTGCATCAGGCTGATCTGGTTGAGCTGCATCAGGCTCATTATTAATATTTTCAAAATGATTATTTCGTATATGCCTTCGTAAGGAAAAAAAGTACTTAAATTTTCGCTGACAGCCATTCTGTGCGCAAACAAATCCTCCGTTACTAATTTTTTGATTAATTGTCAATGCATGTTCAGTCATAAAATGTGTTCTTAAACCATTCAATCCTCCAAGCACGAATTGCTCACAAATAAAACATTTTAATTGGTCCATTTTGTTTTACAAATTTTTACGACAAATACAAAACATTTATTCTAAAAAAACAAAAACAGAAAATTAGGATATAGTATTTAACTAACTTTTACGAAATTTATGATTGTTAAAGTATTATAAATTTTTGTTTTGTATATTTTCGTGTATAGTATTATAAAAATCTTGTTCAAATTAAGAACAATTTAATTATATAAACTGTTTTTTAATTACCGGATATATCGCTTTACGCTTGGTCTTAAGTACGAGAAATTTATATTTTTCGATATAAATATATAATTAAAACATAAAATAGCCAATAGATTTTTTATAGGTTATATTAATTGTAATAAAATATTTGTCAATTTCATTTCTCTATAATTTTTAAACGTTCAAATATACAAAATACTTTTTTGCATTCCAATAATTTAAAAAATTACTAAACTGAAACAAAAAATATTGTAATTGGACATTTATTTAGTTAAAAAATAAGAAACGTATAAATGAAATTCAAAATATAAGAAGCAGTAAATATATAATAGTTCATTGGAACGTTCAAAACTTTTCGAGCTTTCAATTTTCAAAATCTTTCTAAATCAAAACTATTTTATATTTTAATGTAATGCAAATTAATATTCAAAATTATTTTATTCATATTTTCTCTGAAAGTTTTATAAATAATTTAAAAAATTCCCAACAGTAATGTTGGATATAAATATTATAAATTGAATTAGTTTTACCTTCAAGAATTTCGATCGTTTCCTTTGGAATATTAAATTTTAGTAATTCCCATCCTAATTCTGCTGTGGACAAAGTATCATATTTAATTGACTTGTCAATTTGATTGTTTTGCTCTTGTTCCATAGTCACAGTAGTCCTATATTAACATATTTATACAAATGTTAGATAAAGAAAATATTAATATTCAATTATAATGTAAAAAACGAATATATTTATTTGGCAAATAGGAAAATGAGAACAAGATCGTCTAAAAATAAAGAGTAAACAAAAATGCGAAACAAGCGTAACATAACCTGACTTTTCACTTTGTTTTTTAATTCAAATATATTATAAAAAAGGGGGCAATCAAAGAAAATTTGTTAGTACGACAAATTATGAACGGAAATACATTTACATGGAATAAAAATTTGTCAATAATAACATTTAAGAATTTGTGTAAACAGTAAGTCAAAAAAGTAAAAGTTTCAGTATATATATTTAGAAAATAAATAAAAAGCTATACTTACCACCTGTAAATGAATACACAAAGTCACTTATTTTTATTATTTTAATCTTTCTTGCATAAAACTGTGCGAACAAGAATCTCTTTGAGAACAATAAGTTTTTGAATAAAATCAGACACAATCGCCAAAATCATCATAACGCTAACCTCACTTTTCTCATCTACAGAATGCAGTGGCAGATTGCGCATATTCTGACGCACTGTGTACGCGCAGACGCGATTAATCACTGATGAAACAGCGAACGTCACTGAATTTTCAGTGAAAATTTAAGTCACTGAGAGAATCAGTGAAATTTTCGCTGATTCAAATTTAGAGAGGCATGAGTAAACGGCGCCACTTTGGCGGCTTTTTTCTCTCAGTGTAATGTCAATATCAGTAAACTCGTTTTTGAATTTTTCATACAATTTTTTTTAATTTTCCCGCAAAACTCGTTTTTGCATCAATTGCCTTTTTCCATTAATTACTACGGAGATGGTATCTTTTTTTCCTCGCAAGGCTGAGCTTACGTCGTCTCTTTCAAAAAATAATTGTACTTTTTCTTTACTCTCAGGTGAAATTGATTTTCCTACAAAATTTAAATGATTTTAAAAAATTTCAAAACAATTAAATGTAAAATTAAAATTTTCTTAAAAATTTTCTAACTATTTTATTAAAAAACAATTGTAGCATTTTTTTAATGTAATTAACCTTTTTGCTTATCTGGTTTTGATAATATTCCTTTCTGTCCAAGTACTCTTTTAGCTTTTTTAACTATCCAGATAACAATCGTGCGACGCACGTTAGTCGCATGATAAGAGACGTATTATTTGCGGGTATTCGTGCACCTTAATTAGCTGCATTTTCGTTGCACAAAGTATCCGAAAAAAGTGTCGCATTTTCGTGCAAGTAAAAACGCACCGTTAATGCATTTATGAGTAGGCGGGTTGTTCCTATACAAAACATCAGTTATTCTAATGTGCATATCGTGCATATCCAGTGCAGTTTTTTAATTTTATTTCAATTTATGTTTTATGTAATAAATACAAAAATCGATGTAGGATGTACAAGAGAGTTCGGAAAAGAAATTCTGCATATGTTTCCAGAGTTTCTCTCAAAAATCTCACTCCTTGCAGTTGTTTAGTGTTTGAGAAAAATACCTTTTTGTAGGGAATGATTAGGCTCTCTGGGTCATTGGATTTTTCCATGTCATTTCAGTAGGTATAGAATACAGTTGAAGTGAACATTATTAAGTTAGCTGTAACATATGAAGAAGATAATCTTTACCAAATGAATTAGTAGTTTTTTACTACAAATTATTCATTTTTAACTAAAAATCAGTCGAAGCAGTTATTAATTCATTAAGTGTATTTAAGAAAATATCACTATTTAATATTATACTTTTTGCTTGAAATAATATTTAAAGCAAAAAGTATAATATTAAATAGTGATATTTATAGTGTATATTATACATTTTATTGAAGCCTTCATAACGCCCGCACGAGCGTGAACTCGCATGACATACGAGGTATATGTACCTCCATGGAGGACACATCTGCGTGCTTATGTGCACTCACCTCGTGAAGGTAGTAATTCGCACGTCATGAGTCTCTTTTGCAGGAAATGTGCACTCATTATTGTTATCTGATAAGTATCGAGAAGTTCCCAAAATTCTTGCAACTTTAGCAATTGACCGATTTTCAGGAAAAAGAGACAAAATTTGAATTTTCTCGTCATTAGTAGTATTTACTTCCTGATGTTTGCCTTTTAATTTTTGAATTGTGCCATCGGAAGAAAAAATCGTCCTAAAGAGACAATTTTAATTAACAAAATTTCAAATTTATTATTATTTTATTTTAAATGTATTTCTTGACTTAATTAATCAAATTTATGGGAAAAATTTCTATATTTATCAGAGATTGTAATAAAAGAAATAAATCGAAAATCGATTACTTCGGTTTTAAAAAAAGTCACTTTTTAGAAGGAATTTCTATTTATTTAATGTTTCCGCTCTATTAATGTTATTTTTTATTACACATTCGAAATATTTAAGAAAAAACCAATAATTTTCATATATTATATTATTTTTTATCTTTTAATATAACAGAGGAAAAAGAGTTTTAAAAGTCCTTTGCTTCTAAAAACGTTAAATTTAAAAAAATTATAACTTCCGTAATTTTGATTAAATAGAAAAATTAAAAAACACGTATTTACTTATTTTTCATATAGAATTCGACAAAAATTGTTTTCCTCAAAAAAAAAAAATTTGAGTGAAACTTACTGAAAATGCCCCATACACTATTTTTATGGTATTAATGTTTATTTAATCAAAGATGTTAAAAACATTTGAATTATTCTGATCATATTATATTTTTTTATTTATAAAATGAGCTTTCGCTTCACAACTCAGCATTAAAATCTGTGAAAAAATTAAATTATGTAAATTCTTTTACTTACGCGCCATAAAATCCTAGCTGCTTATATTCGAAATATATCCATATTTTATGCATTCCTGATATAATCAATTTTAGTGAAAAAGACGTGCATCTCGATCTCGATTTTTGACATTTCCAAGGTGCACCACGTGGAGGCAACTTATTTTGCACCTGCTTTTGTTTTTTATTTCATTGCTCTTTTCTCTTTCAAAACTTCACGGTATTCGATTAAATTTTTGTCAAAATCATTCAAATCTGCTTTAGAGCTGTTGTTAGACCAGTTCGAATGTCGAAAATTCGACATTCGAATTGCCTAGTTCGAATGTCAAATATTCGACATTCGAGTTACTACAAAATTCGAACTAAACTGAGGTTTGTTCGGTTTTGGAACGGTATTAAATTTTTGTCAAAATCACTAAAATCTGCTTTAGAGCTGTTGTTAGACCAGTTCGAATGTCGAAAATTCGACATTCGAATCGCCTAGTTCGAATGTAGAATTTTCGACATTCAAGTCAGTACGGTTCCAATGTCGAAAAACCGATATTCGAGTTAGCCTAGTTTTCGACATTCAACATTCGAACTAGGAGATTCAAATGTCAAATTTTCAACATTCGACATTTCGGCGCCCCAAAACCGAACACGGTGAGCTTGGATGAAATTCAACCCAAAAGTCATGACCCTTTCTGGTTTATTTTTGATATCATTTAAGTGATGTCTAATAATCATTTTAAGATAAAAATTAAATTAATCGTTGGAGGGAAACTCAAATTATATTGATTTTTTAATTTTTTTCTAGGTTATTGTACATATTTTCTGAAGGATAATGTTTTAAACAATATTTATTACTTCAAAAGATATCTTTTAACATTAAAAAACATTCTATTTAGTAAAAACAATATTTTAATATATAAAGCTAAAAAATTGTTGAAAAAGTGTGAATTTTTTCGTTTTTCTGAAAATTACTCTTTTATAAGTCATTAAACACTAATATTATGCAAATGTAAATTAAAGTACATAAAATTTCCTGGAAAACTAAACAAGAAAAACTATTCTATCTATTGTTGTTACATAAATATGATGATTTAAAGTTCGTTTTTAATGCAAAAGTAATTGAAATTTATCATTAAGTCCAGTTTCTTTGGTGAAATCTTTTTTCTGGACCTTACTTGAAAACCATATAATAATATGTTTAAAAAAGTTAATTTTAAACATATTATTATATGGTTTTCAAGTAAGGTCCAGAAAAAAGATTTCACCAAAGAAACTGGACTTAATGACAAATTTCAATTACTTTTTCATTAAAAACGAACTTTAAATCATCATATTTCTGTAACAACAGCAGGGTGGCCACTGACCGGGAAAACCGGGAATTAGCCTGGAATTTTATACACCGGGAAAAAGCCTGGAAAAAGCCGGGATTTTTAATAAAAACCGGGAATTATGACATTTACAGACAAAATCGCAAAATCTATTATATAAAGACACTAAAAAACGCGTTTTTGAAGGTTTTCAGTATTTTTTTTCATTAACCTGACGTGCTAGAAACTTTTACATAGTCTTAAATTAAGGGGGAATACTCATGAGAAAAAAATTTTTCTTCGAATTTTTTTTTCTTGTTTTTTTTCAGTCGACAAAACTACATTAGAAACAATTCCGATATCAAAAATAACGAAAAAAATTTATTTGGAGTCTGTAACCCTATTTTTCCAAAATCCTTGGTCTTTTTGTGTTTTGCATTGATTCTTAAAATTCACGTTTTAAGCTTTAATTTAAAACCTTCTCGAAATCTCTAGCACGCCAGATTAAAGAGAAAAAAAATGTTGTAAACCCTAAAAAAAACTTTTTTGGGCTCTTTACCCTTACTTTTCTCAATATCCTGAAATGAAGGGTAATTTTAGGTCCCGGGATCGTGTTTAGTAGACAAAACAACATAAGAAACTAATTTTGCAGGCCTGTGTAACTAACCGGGAAAAAAATATATATTAGCCTGGAAAACCGGGAATTAGCCTGGAATTTTTTTTCTAACTTTTAGTGGCCACCCTGAACAGTGGAAAGAATAATAAATAGTGAAAATACGACTGAGTGATAGAATCATCTCTACTCTTAATAGATAGAATAGTTTTTCTTGTTTAGTTTTCCAGGAAATTTTATGTACTTTAATTTACATTTGCATAATATTAGTGTTTAATGACTTATAAAAGAGTAATTTTCAGAAAAACGAAAAAATTCACACTTTTTCGACAATTTTTTAGCTTTATATATTAAAATATTGTTTTTACTAAATAGAATGTTTTTTAATGTTAAAAGATATCTTTTGAAGCAATAAATATTGTTTAAAACATTATCCTTCAGAAAATATGTACAATAACCTAGAAAAAAATTAAAAAATCAATATAATTTGAGTTTCCCTCCAACGATTAATTTAATTTTTATCTTAAAATGATTATTAGACATCACTTAAATGATATCAAAAATAAACCAGAAAGGGTCATGACTTTTGGGTTGAATTTCATCCAAGCTCACCGTGCGAACAAAACTCTATTCGAATCGAATTTTGCACAGCTCTAATCTGCTTGTTTTGATGAAAAGCAAGTATTAACAATTTTTGTCATTGCTTTGAATGAGACAATGAAAAGTCGTAATCGAAATAGTCCTACAACATCATAAATTACAGGATCCTGTAATTTAACAGCTTCTGTAAGAAGTTTCTGGCAATAAACTACATCTGTTACAAGGGTTTGTTAATAATCTCTTTTGGGATGGTACTGTTAAAATCAACGGCATTGGAAAGGAACTGGATGATGTTGAAGGACCATTTCAATTAGGGGAGAGTCTCCAGTTGTGAGACACCTCCAGTTGTGAGACAGTAAATTTTTTTTAACATGCAATATTAAAAAAACGATTGGTTTATATAAAAACATTTCTTTTTATATGAGCCAACTTTTTCGTGTACGCCGAAGCGGATATATAAACTGTTTTTGTTAAATACCAACACTGTGTGTGATAATCGACTAAAAAGCGTTTTTTCAATAAATGCAAAGTACTTTTTTTCCAAGTTAATTAATTGGAAAAGGTAAATGTAATGCATTTTCTTTTAGTGTTTTCCTTATATTTTGTGATGCAATTTTGCATTGTTCCAATCTACGGTTGAAAATAATTTAATTTTCATTTTTCAAAATAGCGCCAATTTCTGGGTGTGAGACACAGCATATCACTAGTTGTGAGACGGTGTCAACACCCATCTGGGCAGCATAAAAAATACGACTTTGCAGGCATACTATTTAAATGTTGTTTTGATTTTTTTTCTAGTATTTTTGGGCATGTCAAGTGGAAAAAAGTCAATTGATTCAGAAGAAATCAATTTTAATGCTCTTGTTGAAGCTATTAAATTGTGTTTATTTGATAGTCATATTTTGGCAAATAAATATTATTATTTATTATATAATAATATATATATTATTAATATATTTAATTATTTCTACTAAACATAACGTTCTATGTCAAACTTATTAAATTTTAGCAATTTTTAATGAGTGTCTCACAACTGGAGACATTTTTTTTTTTTGAAAAAGCGATGTGCTCGGTAAATGTATCGTAAAATTTTTTGAGTTCATCGAAACACTATACTTTCTTTTAATAAAAGTTGCGTATTTCTGTTACCTTTCGAACGGTGTATTTTATTCACAATTTCGTTTACCCGTTTACAATTTACGGGTCAAAAATAAAACCCGTCTCACAACTGGATACTCTCCCCTACAACCTATTATTGTCTCATTCAAAGCTTCAAAAAAATTGTTAATACTTGATTTTTAGCAAAACAAGATCTTACTGATTTCGACATAAACCGAATTCCATGAAGCTTTTAAAAGTACTGAAATTTTGCAGACCGTCAAAATCCATATTATTCTTGAACATTTGCAACAAGCCATTACAGTTTTAAGTAAGGATGGTTCAGGATAATGGTTTGAGCAGGCAAGGGAGTTAGTTCACAGAGAATTTATTAAATATTGGGAAAGCTTCAAAATAAATATGATTGAAGAACCAACTTTTGTTGACCGATTGAATAAAGCTGTAGTAACATATTTAAATTTAAAAACTTAATAGTGATGCATACACACATATGCACACAATAGTTGTAGTATAAATATATTACAAAGTTTAAGATGCACATCCTTATTTTTTTGCCAACATTGATTATATCAGGAATGCATAAAATTGGAGTTATATATTACATTAACTTTTCAATAAGAATTATGTGAATGGGAGGCGTCGTTATATTCTAAATGGCTAGTAAAACAGTTCAATACATAGCATAAAAACCCAAATGGCTTTTTCATCCCATTTTACTCTAAACATTCTATTTTCTATTGTTAGAAACTACAAACTGTTATTATATATTGTTCAAATTAATAAATTAAAGTTATTTTAATCTTTCCAGCTAGAAAGAAGACAGAATCGGCAAAATTTGTGAATCCTTCGAAGAGTGTAGATAGACATGTTAATGGTAAGTGTTCACTTTAAATTGTCGACTTTTAGATAGAGAAGTTCTGTGGATCTGACTTCATACATCTTTTCTTTGTCTATCTCTTGGTCCTTTCTATTCTATCGTTCATTTAGTGTAGAGTATAATTATGATCGAACTTCACTTGCAATGCTGATCCCAGTGCTAATAAAACCAGTCTTAATTGTCAATTTTTGTAAATCTAATATTTCAATAGGACTCTATTCCTTTAATTTCTTCAACATAATGTCTGTATCTCACATAGATTGATATTTTGGAATGGTTGGACGATGTTTAAAAGATCCTTTGAAAAACCGAGTTATTGTATTTATTATTGGTAAAGTGTTAATGCGTATCTCTTGAATAGTTTAAGTTCCTTGTAGTAGAGCCAGCCGTAAGTTACCAGACAAGCTGCTACTGGGACTCCAATGCATTTTGCTAAATTCTGAATTCTTACCTTCCTACCTAGTAACATTTCCCTGAAAGCTTCCTTAATTTTTGAACGTTTCTCCTTCGATAGCTCGATAGTCATATCGAACGAATTGATTATCATTCCTAAAAATTTACAAGTTCTCTTTGGGGACAAATCACTTTTTTCAATTAATCTTGAAACCTAAAAAGATTAATAAGGATACTGTTTGTTCCGTATGCTTCTTACATTCTTCACGAGAGCTACCGAAAATTAAAAAGTCATTAAGATATATAACGACTTTGGTATAATTTTCCTCTATACTCGAAACGGAGATATTTCTTGTCACTTTCCTGAATGAGTACCAATAGGTATGCATCCTTTAAATCTAACCTACATAGATAATCTTCTTTGCAAAGTAAATTAATAGCTGTCCTCAAATCCTCTATTTAAAAATGTTCTTTAGCCATTAGAAGGATTATCACCCAAATGAAGATTAATAAGAACAATTTAATATAGAACCCGTCATGGACTTTGAATCCAAGATAAGGACTTTTTCTGGGCACAGGATATTCTGAGTCATCGATATAAATATATAAGAAAACATTTAATATATAATTAATAACAATTATTATTAATGTAATATTCTATGATAAATCTATTTAAATTATTTGTTTGCAGTCCCACGAAAGAGTGTTGCACCTTCATCATCATTTGATGTGCATGCTCGAAGAAAGTTGTATACTACACAAAACACTCCGCACGCATTGAATCGTCAATCAAAATTAAAGCCTACTTCTCAAAGTCAACCGCAGCAAATTGGTGACAATCGAAATTTGTCTTCACGAAAAAGTTTATTACTACCTCCTAATACAATAAAAGAATATTATATTCACAGAAGAAAAAGTAAAGGAGCAACTATGAAAACCACTCATGAGGACGTGGCTGTTCAAACCGATACTGATAACCGTTCAGAAACTAAAAATAACACGACTAAAGACACTAAACTTACAAATAGTTGTCATTGTGGCACAGAGATAAATTCTGAAATTCCCACTGTTTTACAGTCATTAAAGGAAACTGCATTAAACAAAAATGCAGCTGCTGGAACCTCAATATGTACAGAAAGTGAACAAATTTCAACAAATTCGTGCGTTTCACTTTCTACAGCTGGTGTATTAGACAGCCAAATTAATAGTAATAAAAATTGTCTAAATTCTCAATTACGAGGACTAAAATCTTCCATTTCAACTGATAATGATTGTGTACTCGTTGTACAACCTTTACCTCAAAATCAAGTATTTTTTCAAGTCCCTGAAAGTATGGAACATCAAAGAATTTTACGAAACATTCCTACTATGAATTATACATGCAACTCCAATTCTGATCAATTCATTGTAGACAGAACTAATTTTCTTGCAATAGAAGAATTCCTCAAGGAAGGAATTGTTAATATGACTCAAGCTTTAAGTATCGTGCAGGCCACGTTGTATTCAAACTCTCTTCAACAGCAGGTGCGTATAATATATTAATAATTGATTTTAAAATTTGCGACCTTTGCTTTGAAGTTCTTTAATAACTCCAAACCTGGGAAATTTGATCTCATTTAAATATTTTCAAATGTAAATTATATTATGCTTCTTATGTATTTTAAGGTATTTTTCTTTTATTTTTCATTGGCTTATATAATTTTCTATTCTCATAGAACCTAGAGATTCAATGTTTCTTAAAAATTGCAGGCATCAATGATATAGCCCACCTTTTACAATTTTGTCACCTTTTTCTCCTTTCTTGGTGACTTGTCCCCTTTTTCACCTTTTTCTAATTAAAAGTAGAGTTTTCCTTTTTAGAGCTTTTTAGAGCTGTCGGATATTTTTTCATTTATCGTAGGAGCTAAAGAAGCTCAAAGATATCTTTCAAATGGTTGATAGGCTGAAAATAAAACCGACATTGATGAAAAAGTCCTGTTAGATGATGCAGGCATCAAAGATTAACGGTGACTTCAGTTTTCATAGGTTTTCTTATGTTAAAAATTGAAATGCGTTTTTCTCGAAATGACATTTTTCAAAACGGTGGGCATGTCTAGCTCGAACAGTTTTTATCGGATTAACTTAGGCTAAACTTTTTTTGGTCGTCATTTACTAATGCTTTAGAGTACGTAACGGATTTTTTTTGGTTTGTTTCTTTTTCTTTGGTATTAGCTTTTTTGAAAAAATATGTTGAAATTATTATTTATAAATTAAAATTACTAAATTATTTATAAACTTTAAAAGTTAATAAATAAAGTCCTTAAAATCACATTTTGTTTACTTTATTCCTGTGTCTTAAAGCATACTTTCATTTGCGAAGGCAAAAAAATTGTTTCGTTTTTCAACTGTTATTTACGATTCGTAGAGGGCGCCAAAGTATGCCAATGTTTATAAAATGATGATTTTGATTTTTTAAATATTGACTTTAAAAGGACGCCGGCCATTTTCGTTTTTTACTTTTTTTAACTCCATCATTCACTAGGTATTAATGTATACTAAGAAATAAATTTAGTTTTTTTGATTTTAAACTGTCAGGAGCGGCTCTATTGAGGGTACCGCAAACTTTTATGAATTTGAGACCGCCATATTTGGCGCCTTCTACGAATCGTAAATAACAGTTGAGAAACAAAACAATTTTTTCTTTTTGTAGTTTTAATATTGTATTTTAAGCTGCAAACAACGTTTTTAATCTTTCAAATAAAATGACTGAAAAAATAACAGTAAAGTGGGGCTTATTTTTTGCCTTCGCACACGCAAGTACGCTTTAAAAAAATCATGAATAGCATGTTAAAAAGAGACCTCAGGGGTGTCACTCCCCCTAAAACAATATAACGTAAAAAATGTTATAAATATTAAGGTGGTTCATCAAACACCACAGAATGCAGACCTCTAGAAAAATAATTAATTAACATTTAAATAATAAAGTAAAGTATTCTTATTAATAGTATTTTCTAGAAAAACAAAAATATCATTTTTCGAGAAAAAAATTGCAAATATAAATATTTATTTATTTATAATTCAAATGAATATTATCCGTTAAGCTGATTTCGAGAAAAGTGACTATCTGTTTTAAAAAATGTGTTTTCGAGAAAAATGTGTTTAAAGTTTTCGTAATGTATTAGATTGGGTTAAGGAACGGTCATAAAAATTGCTTTAAGTTTTTTCTGTTGCATATTATTATTCTTCAAAAATGTTTTGGGACAGTAATTGTCTAATTTTATGATACTAACGATTATTCTAAAGCAAAAAATGAAATTTTTTTAAAGCCTTTCACCTTTCTATTATTTATGTGATGTAAATATTTAAAAATTTTATTAATATGAAAGATATTTTGCATGAAAGAATTCAAAACTAAGAAATTAGAGTATTAATACAATGTTAATATAACTTTTAACACATTTTAATTTGTTGTTAGGTATATTTTTTGGCCCCTTCTCCAGTAAAAAATTCCTCTTTTGACCTTCTTTGAGGATAAAAGGTACTGTGATGCCTGAAATTTCTACTTTTCGTAAATTTCTAATTACAAAAATAAATACAAAAAATAAAATTTTTTAAATTTGGCTGGACAAATCTCTTTTGCAAATGTAAACTTTATTTCATTCAAAAAAATCAAAGTAGATGAAAAATGAATGACGATACCTGTCTATAAAATTGTTTTATTTTAATTTATTCATAAACGTTCAAATTATAATATTTTCTGTTTATCATATTTTCAGATGCAATCTACTGTCTCCAATGATAAAGAACGCACGTCAACGTACTTTGCTACTCCTGTCATTCATAATATCTTTAACCCTGCCTCGGAACTCTGCGACATAGTTGATGTGAAAATAGAACCGACTTATGGTGATACAAGTCCCCCCATTATATCTATGCCACTACCTGTTTTTGAGAGTTTTTCGACAAATGAATTGTCAAATGAAAAATCTTTGACACCAACTCCTAGTGAGACTAATTCTAATAATAAATTGCCAAAAGAAAAATCTGCACCACTGCGTGAAATCGATACATTACGAGTACGATTAGAGAATTGTTTAAAGTTTCCGCCCACTGCCAACGCATTAAGAGGGACTAGCGTTTCAAAGGAAGTGATCCAGAAAAGCGTTGATTCATCTGAAACCTCTAATTTGACTTCAACTAATCAACATTCGCAAAGAAATCCTAAGGAAAGCGATGCTATTGTCCTTAAAACTCCCACACGAAATGCGAAAAGAGTCGACAATAATTTACTGAAAACACCAAAAACTATAGATAGAAATCCATTATTAAAATTAACGACTCCTTCTAGAAGAATAGAGAATAAGGAAAATTTCCAAACACCAATGTCGCGTAGAAAAACATTTTCTGGCTTGGATTCCCAGAAGCTAAGACGGTCAGCACGCATTGCTAGACATCATCTTCGGCAATCGTTAGGAGAAGACAGTTTTCTTGCTCTAGAAAGGGAATTGGATATTGTGTATCCTTCTTCGAATGTTTAAAAATGTAGTTGATAAATATAAATGCTATGTAGTTATTATAGAATTCTAAAGAATAGAAAATCAACGAATTCTATATCATTTATGTAAAATCTTTTATTAATTTTTTTTTCTTTTCAACATTACTCATAACTCATATTAGTTAATACTTCGATCATAAATTTATAAATTTCAGCTATTCTATCACGGAAATTATTTTTTTGTTATTTAAGTATTTTATAATATATTTTTAAGATGAAAACTATTTTGAGACTTTATTATTTCTAATATTTCTATTCTGTAAAACACATTATTGATAGTTATATACACTACCGGCGGTAATTGTGCGACCCCTGCTTTTTTGATGACTATTAACCCTCCGTCACGCACCTTAGAAATAATTACACCATTACACACGTTTAGAGGGAATCCCTCACCACACTGTAAAATAAGCGGCATTACAACATAAACGAAGGAATCAACAAAAATTTAGTTTTAATACAAACTTACAAATATATGTAGTAAATTATTCTAAATTATAAAACTAATAAAATTAATTTTCGGTCTCAAAAATTCAAAAATTTCTCAAAAATCCCATTTTTACTGATTTGCCTAATTTATTTATATCTTTCGAAAAAATTAACGTTTTTTAACGTTCATAAGCTTATTTTGAATTCTAATTTTTTACTAGAATTTGAGATTTTTTACAAGAATTTATACATTTTTTTAGAAAATAGTAAACATAATTTTTTGAATTTGCTTGATGCAACTAATGACTTACACTTTCTAAAAAAATTTACATAGATAAATTCCTGTAAAAAATTTCATTTCTACAAAAAAATACGATTAAAATGAGCCTATAAACTTTAAAAAACGTTAATTTCTTCAGAAGACATAAAGAAATTAGACAAATTACTGAAAATGGGATTTTTTTGAAACATCTGATTGAAAAATTAACATTTTTCTTGTCGTTAAGGTCTCATTTTTTTCAGAATTTTATGTTTAATGAAAATAAACAGGAAAATTTTTTATTTAGTATATTTTTGATGATAGATGTTATTTAATAGTTTTGAAAAAAGTAGGGATTGCACAATTACTGCCGGCAGTGTAAAATATATTTTTACTACTTTTATCGCATAAATGTATCCGGAACTGAAAGATTGGTTTCTTCATGTATCAGTAATTTTTAATGAAAAACAAACTATTTGTAAAATGCTACAAATTCCATTTAAATACATGAAATGAAAAAAACTATATATGTCAAATGCAAAAATTAAATCTATAGTTTAAAATTAATTTAATTTTATGGTTGTAAATTAAAATGAATTCAAAATATGACGTAAACAAGCAACTTGTTTAAAAATTGCAGTAAACACTGTTGTTTATAAATATCGAAAACGTCTAAACATTGATCGAAATTTGATTTGATTTGATTTTATTTGTAATATTATAAAACATACGGTTTTATTAATTTATTTAATTTTCAATAATTTTTTAAATGTCGAAGGCCTTAAGAAAAGCTTAAAACTTTCGTTTTTTACAATTAAAATTAATTCAATTAAAAAATTAAAATCTACTAAATGAAAATTTGTTAATAATTATATTATATATTTACTACACAAGAGAAATGAAATTTTTTCATTTCTTGCAGTTTAATGGAAATAGCATTTTAAAAATAGTTTTTTGTATTTAAATTTTTGGGTTTTCCCCTTCGAGTAGAATTCCTCATATGTATAACGAAAATGGTGAAACTTTTAGTCTACTCTAGTACGCAACAAGAGTAAATGATAAATTTGGCTAAATTCCAAAACTTAAGACTTCAACATGAAAAATTAGTTTTTCAACTTGGAAGAAAACAAAACTTGCGAACACTTCAATACTTTCATGTTCCGGTTGTATCCTCTTAAAAATTTCCAAGGATTTATAACAGGTATCATCTGTAGGATATTTTATGATTCTCATTAAGATTATATGTAGTATAGAATTCCATCTTTGCTAACATAAGAATGAGAAATGTAAGTGAGTCAGGTAAAATTATTTTCTATTATTTATTCTAAGTTCTAATAATATATTTGTATTTTATTCGCCATTATATGTATAGAGAGTAGTTTGGGCTATTAAAAAATATTAGTATAGTTTTAAATATATGTATAAAAATAAATATACAAAAATATAAAATGCTCATGTAATTTATTCAAGTTTAAAATCTTAATTTATACTTGATATATCTAGATTTTGTTTAAAAATTATTATCTCTGTTGAAACAAAAAAAAATAATCATCTTTCTGAAAACTTGTATGGTCGATAAAATGTAATTTACAGAAATCAAATTAATAAATTATCTTTTATATTAAATATTTTCTAAAGTTTTATATTTTATGTGCTCAAGATTGGTTTAAAGAAATATAAAAGGCGTTCCATGAGCAGGGCAAACTTTGAATCTCAGATTCAAAGGATGGATAAGAAGTAAATTTTCCACGAAAACGTGTTAACCTAGAAATAGGAAGCATTCCATCTGTGTTTCAGGTAAGCTTAATGGGGGTGGTAGCGATTCTACGCAAATAAACCCTACAAAAAAAATTCTACACAATTCACTCTACGCGAGGGGACTGTACACAATACATTTTATAAATTTTATTAATTCTACGCAAATAAATTAAACAGGAAAAAATCCTACACATTAGAATTAAATAAAACGAAATATTTCATTAAAATCTCTTAATTCTACGCGATTAAATACTACATCAGAAAATTCGACACATTTACTTTCAATTAAAAAAAATTCTAGTAATAATTTTTTTATTTTAATTTTTAATTCTACGTAGTTTAATTGTACACCAGGAAATTCTACACATTTAAAAAATATTGATTAAATTAAGTTTTAAAAAATTCTCAATAAATAAATTCTGCAAATAAATACTCTACACATTAGAACTAAATAAAATGTAACTTTAAATAAAATTTATTTAATTTTGCACGATTAAATACTACATTAAAAAATTCTACGCAATATATTTTTAAACGAAAAAAAATATGGAATATTTTTTCAATTCAATTTTTAATTCTCCACAGTTAAATTGGACACTAGAAAACTCAACACATTTAAATAAATATTATTTAATTAATTTAAAAGAAATTTTTTAAAAATAAATTCTACAAAAAAATACTCTACACATTAGAAGTAAACGAAATAAAACTTTAAATAAAATTCGTTTTTATTTTACACGGTTAAATACTACATCAAGAAATTCTACGCATTATAACGAAAAAAATAATTATTATTTTAACTAACTCTAATCAAATATATTATTCAAGAAAAAACTCTACACATTAAAATAAAATAAATATAAAATTTTTAATCTAATTTGTTTAATTCTACACACTTAAATTCTACGCCAGAAAATTGTACACAATTTTTTTGTGCGCAAGGAAAAATATTTTTTCAGAGAATATAGAATTTTTTTTAACTCTACGCAATTAAATTAAACACAAAAAAACTCTATCCAAATGAATTCGTTTAATTAAATAAACGGCGAAAATAAAATTCTACAAAATAAAACTCTACACACAAAAATTCTTGGCAACAAATATATTATTTTTCACTTTTTAATTTCTTATTTTAATTCTACACAATTAAATTGTATATTAAGGCTGCGTCTACAACAGAAAAAATAATGTGTTGAACTATGTGTAAGGCTGCGGTTACACCTCTGCAGGCAGCCTGCCTGCCTGCAGGTTGTCATGGTAACGTACAAGAGTAAGAGAGTCAGTGACTTCAAACTTCTCCCTTACTCTCGTTGCTCCTGCCTGCGCAGGCAGGCAGCCTGCAGAGGTGTAACCGCAGCCTAATGTGTAGTATAGTGTGTAGTGTTTTTGGTATTGCCAACTGTCAGGGGAAATAAAAATGATCTTTATCAGTAGCGTAAACGTAGGGTGCAATTTTGGGCATAACTGAAAATTTAAAGATTTAAAGCGACATTTTTATCAAATTTGCGAATTTGCATATGATTTTAAAAAGATGAAAACGATTGTTGCTATATTATAAAGTGTTAAAAAAAATGTGCTCTGAAGAAAATTAAGTAGGTTTAAATCTTAATACATCGTCATTAGATTTTCCCCTACTAAAAATAAAATCAGGAATGGTCAGACAAATGGTCAGGCCGCCTGACCACTTTAATCCAGTTTTCTTACGATTCTGGATGGATCTCGTCAGAAATCTATCACAACTGATCAGGAGGAAGTTTAAAGTGGTCACAAGTTTGCTACTATCCCCTCCTCTTTGTTGACCCCGCCCATAATTGGTGACTATTTGAGACCATTTGTATCTCATTTTTGACCATATTTTTAAGCCACTTCTGTTTTATTTATTTAAACAATATGCCAAAAGTTGCAACAAATTAATTTAAAAAAATATATTTTATTAATTAATATCAGTTTGTTTACATACGGAACAACTTGAAACTAATTCCCGGAATTAAATTAAAATTTGGACCCTACGGGGATCGAACCCCGACGCATGACCTAACCTAGTGCCTAAACTAACTGCCCTAACGACTGCGACTACCGAACCGACTTACATATTTCTGGATTCAACTGTCTATATAAAGAGCAACTGTAAAATAGTAAAATTCAATTACCAATATTACCAATAAATCAGAATAAACTGTTAAATAATTTTTATTAATTAATTATATTTCAATTTAGTCATAATAGGTTATGTGAATTAATAAAAATTAACATTATTAATTGAATCAATAATAAATTAAGTCTTAACTTTACAATTTGGAATGTTTCATAAACTATAATACGAATACAGATTAATAATAATTATTATTATATCTGCATTTAAAATAAATTTAGTATTTAATATTAATTTAATTTAACATTATAATTTATAATAATAATGAATTATTAATGCAATATTGAAATTTTTATAAATTTTAAATTTAAATTATTAATAATCATTATAGTAAGAAATTATTCTATTAATGATTAATAATAATTTAAATATAACTGTATTTCAATTATAATGCAAATACTTCTCATAATAAGTACTGACTGGTATAGTAAATTACTAATATTATGAAACAAAATTTATTATTAATTAACTATATTAAATAATTACAAGTAAATATACATATATTAAATTAATATATTATAAATATACATTACATAAATATATTAAATAATTTTAAAAGAATGGTCCGAATGTTTTGATTTATTTACCTACTTTTGCTGTATAATTAATTCAATAATTATACCAATTTGAAAAATGAGAACTTTTGTTAAGTTAAAAGAACAATTTTTATAATAGAATAATGTATTCTGAAATGTAAAAAATAAATTTGAAAGATTTTATATGTATATATAAATTTTCATGAGACTTTACCAAAATTAGAAAGATGTACCAAAATTTTTATAGGTTATGTGTTCACACATTTCAGAAATAGTCAAGAATTTCAGAAATGGTCAGGAATTTCAGAAATGGTCACAGCTTCGAAAATGGTGGGAGTAAAGCGGGAGGAGCTTGGAAAGTATTTGGTTAGGAATGGTGAGAAACGTTCGAAAATGTCAGAAGTGGTGAGACTGTTCAGGAATGTTCAGAAATTCTGACCATTCATGACGATTCCTGATTTTATTTTTAGTAGGGTCAGGAGAATATGACTTGTATTGATTTCAAGTTAGTGAGGTTAGATACGTTTGTTTACAAAGTCCCAGGACACATTGAAATATAATTCAAACATTTGATTATTAATTTAAAAAGGTAAGCTATTAATTTAAACAATTTGAAGTTTCTTTCTTAATTTTCTTGCTTTTGCTATGTTTTTTTTTTGCTTATAGCTCTTGTGAATGTTGATGTTGGAAAATTTTCCACTTGAAACAATGTTATTACTATTTTGATATTAGTAAACTAGTAATCGTTAAATTAATAAAAGAGGAGTCAATAGAAAACTAATTTTCAAAGTAATAATTTATTTTCTTATTAATTTACAAAAATTTTTTTGCAATTTGAATTCAAATTTAATGTCAGTTTTTTGTTTATAAAAAAAGGTACCTATATCTTAAGTATGGTAATTAAAATTTTTTTTTGAATTAATATTTGAATACTTAAGAAAATTCATCTTTCCGGTGGCGCAAATTTTCTAAGGCGGGCCGACAAGAAATTAAAGAAAAATGTACAAATTAGCGGGAAAATCCGTAGGTGACGTACAGTGAAAATCAGTTGAAATGCTGCATTAAAAGAAACAAGACCTAAAAAGGTCAGTGATAAATTTGTTACGTAATTAAAAAAATTTTTTTTTTTTTTAAAATATAATGTAATTGAATATTTGCAGGTAGGATGAATGACAGATTGGTCTCCTTATAATGGTTGTGACCAAAAGAAACGGGATGGGACCAATAATAGTTGTGGTGTTTACGATATTCTTCGTAACGGACCTCTCGCCTATGTGAATCTTCAAGGTAATTTTTCAAATTTGAACTTCTTTCTTTCTATTTAACCCCGGATATTCCTTCTGAATTTCTATACCCTTGAATTTTGACAGAATATGCAAAAGGTTAATTTCTCTCTATTCCAAATGCCACTTGTATTCCATAAGTAGAATAAATTACGTACGTAAATTTTTAATTTAGCATTTCTACGATATCCATGCGTCACTATTATTAAATAGACTATATCTGTTTTTCTAATTATTATAAAAGTAAATTTTTTTTCTAAATGATACATTAAGCAATATAAAAAAATGTCCAGCTTAGATTTTAATTTTATAGCATAATATATTAAAAAAAACCTTATTTTAATGTGGCGAAGCACAGACACAAATTAAATTTTTCTTGTGGAAATGTCGAATTTAAAAATTTTTTTCAATCGATATATAAAAATAGATGATTCTGTTAAGGAGATTTATAATTGTTTTAATTCCAAACAATACCTTTTACAAGAAATAATGTTGAATATTTTCTATTCCAAAACTGAAATAGATTTAAGGTTTTTTAATATCTTTCAATGCTGAAATGAAGAAATTTCCGTAAACATTTTACCTTAAGCGAATTAAAGTGATTAAAAATTTACAAATTTCTATTTTATGTGTAGAATTAAAAAAGAGAGAATTTTAGGAGTGAATTGAATTAACTTCTTTAATTCTATTCTATTCCAGTCTTCTTACCGGATCCATAAAAATTTAATTATAATTCATTAATTCATCAAATAAATTAGATTGCTTATAAAAGTCTCTAAGCCTAAAGAGTACAACATATAGTTGGCTCATACGTTGAAGTACAATTGGAACAAGAAACAAACTCAAAATTTTTTCACGTTAGAATGTTTATATTTAACGCAAAATAATATTACTATATGTCACTTTCCTCCTTTTTAATAATTCGGCAAGATAATCTGTAAATACCACTATTAAAGGAAAAAGAAGCAACAAGACACTAAATATTTTATATGTCAACAGATATTTTTTTATTCTTTTTTTTCCAAATATACTTGAGGAGGATTTTTTAGCAGAGCAATAAGAGTCTCCCACATCAGTTTACTCCTAGTCATTCCACGTCAGAAATATCACAATCTGCCTTCTGGAGCACATACAGGGTTTGTGTGGCAATGTGTCTACTAACCGGGAAATAGTGGGGGGAATTTAATGTGACTGGAAATAAGCCAGGAATTTTAAGCCAAACCGGAAATTTTTAACCAAATTAAAAAAAGTTTTATTATTTAATTTGTTTCTAAAAAATGGTTTTTTATTTTGATTTTTATATATATTTATACTGTTATGATAATATTATTTTGAAAGTATTTTAAATTAATAATTGATAAATAATTGAATTTTATAAAGTCAAATTCAAATGTATTCATGTTTTTTAGTGCGAAGATTAATATTTAAAACTTTTATTAGTCAATTTAAAAAAAGATACATACTGAAAATTGTTTCAAGATAATTTAATTTTTATAAACAAATAATTGAAATTTCTTCACATTCTATTAAAAATAATTAAATTCTTTTAAACAATGTTATCAGGATGGCCACATGTCAGTAAAGTCACGAAAATGTTAGTGAAACAAAATTTTTGTCAGTTAAGTCAAGGAAATGTCAGAGAAACAAATTTTTTGTCAGTAAAGTCAGGGAATGTCAGGTACTTCTTCGACTTTTTTTTAAAAAAAGTGCAACTTATTTTAATTTTTATAATGCAAAAAATAACTATAAACAAATCTTTCAAAATTTGTTTGTGAATCATGTTTTCATATAATTAAATTTTTCAAATATTTCTGCAATAAAAACCTTTTCGAGCCGTTGAACTTTTGTAAAATTTAATTGCAAATATTTAATTCATTTCAAGTGTTTATTTACAATTTTTGAAGAATTTTAATTGCAAATTTTGAAAATAATTAAAATATCAAAAATTTTTAATGAGAAATCTTTAAAGGTAAATTAAAAAATTAAAATGAATGAAAATACATACAAAAATAATAACATTTTGGAATTCTTTTAACATTTTAGAGAAAACAATCAGGTTCAAAATTTGTAATTAAAATTAAAAAAAATTAGTTTTTTTAAATCATACAAAAATTTTTTTTAAGAAATTCAATTATTTTTATAAAAATTTACTTTATGGAGTTATTAAATTTTTAAGAAATCATGATTCTGTTTTTTAATTAAAATTCTTAAAAAATTTGATCATTTTTATTTATATTTTTCAAAAATTCAATTATTTTAAAAAGATTTTATGAAATTTTAAAATTAAAAAAGTATTATATTCATATGTATCATTACAATTATTATAAAAAATTGACTTTTTGCATTTAAATAATTGAATTCTAGAAGAACTTTTGGGAAATTATTTAAATTAATTGATTCAGAGATGATGTTTAGTTGAAAATTGTAAAAAATAATTGAATTCAGTAAATCATCAGTAATTGTCAGGGAAATGTCAAAGAAATTGACAAACTAAAATTGGTGGCCACCTTGGTTATTTAAATTTTTCGATAAATAATCAAGGGAAATTAGTCACCGTATTTATAATTTTATATTTAAAAATTTCTTTGCAACATATTTAATTTTTTTATTTAAAATAGTAAAACTTATCGCAGAATTTCAATTATTTTTAATTTTATTAAAATTCGTCGAAAGAAGTCAATTATTTCTAGAAACTGTAAAAAAATTTTAATTAAGAATTTATTCAGTTATTTCAATAAAAAGCAAAATTCTTCATATGTACTAAATTCATTTGAATATTATTTAAAAAAAAATTCTTTACAATAATTCAATATTATTTTCATAAAATTCTAAAAAAAAAAATTAAATTATTTTCAAAAGTAATAAAATTCTATGCAGCGAAATTCAATTAGTATCAATAAATTTTAATAAAATTGAATTAATTATGTTTTCAATTATAATTATGGACAGACAAGATTATTTTAAAAAATTGAAATAATTCTTTGTTTAATTTAATTATTTTTTAAATTTTTAATTAAAATTATTAAAAGAACATTTTTTTCAAAAAATTTAAAGAAACTTGTTAAAAGAATTTAATTATTCATAAAAACTCTAATAAAAATTTTTGAAGCCATTGGTTGATTTATTTATGTTTGAAATCAAATAAATTTAAATTTCCTGAGAAAAAAACGGGGAAAATTAGGATAAAACCTGCAATTTTGTTGGACGAAAATAGTAGACACCCTGCACGTTTCAATGTTCCCCGAGTGTAATACTCTAGTCAGTTGTCTCCTGAATGTTGTCAAAAAATAAAAATCATCCCTATCAATTTGCAAAAAATGCTTTTTTTAGAAACAACAGTATAAAATTTATTTGTATTGTATTGTACCACTATTCAAGAATACAAATGTTAAATATTAGTTAAAAATATTGAAAATTACAAAAACTAGAATTTTTTAAAAAAGTGTAATTTTTTTCGTTTTTCTAAATAATTGTCTACTTTTAGCATTTTTTTTCTACAATAAAATATTTATAATGAAAATTTTGAAGTATAGAAACTTATTCTTTAATGTTTAAAGAAAAAATGTACTGTGATGCCTGTATTTTTTTGTACTGGGAAGCCATAATCTACAGAAGAAAGAAAGAAGAACCTCTAAATATATATCTTATTTTCTTGACAGTAATTAATTCGCATTTTCTCATTTCTCAATTCGCACTTCTAAAGAAGGAAAAAAGAAGAACCTTTAAATATATCTTATTTTCTTAACAGTAATTAATTCGCATTTTCTCTGGGGTAGTATTTTACTTCAGTTATACTGTCCAGGTTTAAAAATCATTTATTAAATTTTACTTAAATCATTGTTTTATTTAACATGAATATTATACATATACATATATATATATATATATATATATATATATATATATATATATATATATATATATATATATATATATATATGTTTAAATAAACCGAAACATCATACAATAAATTATTGTCCTTCAATTTTTACTAATTTTCGCGCTGTTTCTTTTTATTTTGAATTAATTCTTTCATTGATTTAAAGCACAAAACTTTGTTTTCTGGTAGTACTCTGTCCCATATATCTAAAATTATGTAAAAAAGATTGTTTTTCTCTTCAATTCTTCGAAGACTTTCCATTTGTGTTTCATCAATAGGGTTATTGCGAATCCTGTGAATAATTAAGAATAATTATTCATTAAATAACCGATTTTGCTCAATTTTTTTTGTTGAATAAAGATTGATAAATAGAAGAATTATGTTAAGTTTATTCAATATTTTTGATACTTTTATAGAATTCAAGTAAAGAAAACCGAAAAACAGCGAATTTTTGACATTTAAACAAACGCATAACCTAAATTACTGAATGGATTTGCAAGATACTCTGGAATATTATTAAAAGAGTTGAAATCTGGATATATATTTCAGAAAATTTGAATATATTAAGCATTTTTTTAAATATTTGAATTTTTTCTTTAAAAAATTGAAAATTTTGACATTTGGACAAACGTTGAGACTAAACTACATAACTGACTTGAAAATATTTATAATTAAAGAAAGTATTGACGCCAAAATTAAGTATTAAAAGACGAATAATTAGATTTCACTAGCTGCTTGTGTTAAACATTAAATTAAAGTTTATATTTGTTTCAAATTTACAATTCAATATTAAAACTTTAGTTATAAATTTTATTTGGTAAACTGATATTTAACTAATTGTCGGAACGTTTTGCATGAAAGATTTTTTTGTTGGAATATAAAATAAAAGAAAAAAAAACAAAATAAGTTTTATATTTTATTACTGTATCGTACTTGAATTGCTGTTGGCAATCTTCTGAAAACTCCATAGCTTCAAAAAACGGAAATTTCAAGTTTTTCTCTGGAACTGCTTAACCGCAGGAACTCGAATAATTAAAGAAATCGCTAATTTAATTTTTTGCTGGATATTTTTAATTTCTGCTACTACAGAGATAACGTTTTTCTAGTAATTAATAACGTTATTTTATGTAAAGTTACGCAAAGTTACGCATTTTTTTGTTTTTAAAACAAAAGAATAATTAAAAGCACTTCCTAACATTACCTGATTTGAAAAAATTTGTTTTTTCTAAAAGTGAGGAAGCATTCAATTTGCGTTTGTGCTCATTTTAAAAAGTTATTGAAACGAAGATGGATACTTATAAAACTAATATTTTAATTGAAATTGTTTCTTAAAACTCTTGGATTTATGATCCTAATTATCGATCGAAATTTAGTGTTCAAGAGAAAAAGGAAATGTGGTTTAATATCAAACAATTTTTACAAGAGAGCGGAGTATCAATTGAAGGTGAACAAATTTTAATTTAAACATTATAAAATTATTAAAATTTTTATTCAATATCCTCCCCCTACCCCTTCTCTTAACTTCTAAACTAAAACTAAAAACTAATATTAACTTCATTTTGTATAGAAAAATAAATGTTAAAGTCTAACAATATTGTATACAATTAAATTTTAATAAAATTAAGTTTAGATTAAAAGAAAACCAAGACTGCGGTTATTTTATTAAACTTTTACGCTTTTTCAGATCCAAAAAAAGTTTGGGAAAATTTGCGTCGTAATTTCAGTAATTGTGACAAAAATGGAAATACGACTTGGATTCATTACAAGAAGTTAATGTTCCTGCAGCCATTTATTCAACACAAAAGGTTTGCTTTATTTCTGTAATATTATAACCAAAGTTTTTTTTTGTTTTTTTTATCAAATCGATCTAATTCTAATACGAATTGCCAGAGTTGCTAACGACCGTCCTCAAACGTAATTGGGCTTGCGCTACAAAACTATTCTTATTGGTAGACTTAAAGTTTTAAATAGACGCGCTTTTTCTTCCCCACTCGCACCTCTATGGGGCGAGTAAGAGTACGTTTACACGACTTTAGAAAAAATCGTCTTGTCTTTCATCTCTCTCCTATGGCAGAGGCATAAGTTTGTCTCACTCTACATTTTCTTACTTTTTCAAAAAAAGGTGCCTTCTATGACATAGGCGACAAAACCTCAATTTTTTTTAGTCTATAACTTTACGATACTGTGACTTGCAAAACCGTCTTTTTTCCTATGACACAAATTCCTCGCTTACCTAATTCAATTTGTAACTTTTCATTATGACACAAAAAATATTTATTTACTTAGCCCATTTTTTTGTAAACCAAATGTGATTTTTCGCGAAATCAAAAATTAAGCGCTATTGCTATAGTGCTGCTATCTGAGATGGTGGAAATTTGCGCTCTTATTTAAAATGCCTTATATACTAAAAAATTTATAAGGCATTTTAAATAAGAGCGCAAACAGGGTGGCCACTAGGGTGGTCCAAAAATACATTAAGAAAAAAAAGTCAGAATATTTTTGCTCTCACCCCCCGGAATTGAAGTTTGTAGGAAAAAAATACCCCTGTTTTTTTTCATAATAAATTAATATTAACCCGTGCCTCAAAGCCCCTCAAATTTCTTATGTATTTTAAATGAGAAAAAAACCATTTTTCGTAAATTTAATATAAAATCTTGAGAACATTTTTTTTCACTCGGTTAAGGATGTTTTTCTTCTAGAGTGTTTAAGGAATAAAATCCTTTTACATATTTAACAAATTTTTTATTTTTTATATTTTTTTTTTAGTTTTGAAAAATTCTAAAAAAACGGTAATATATTTTTTTTTATTACTTATTATTAATTTTTCTCATCTATTGTAATTCAATTGGCTTTTATGAATCTATTAACGAATAAAAAATAATAAATTACCGTTTTTTGCTTTTTGAAAATTTTTCAAAAATAAAAAAAAATATAGAAAATAAAAAATTTGTTAAATATGTAAAAGGATTTTATTCTTTAAATACTCTAGAAGAAAAACATTCTTAACCGAGTGAAAAAAAAATTTTCTCTAGATTTTATATTAAATTTACGAAAAATGGTTTTTTCTCATTTAAAATACATAAGAAATTTGAGAGGCTTTGAGGCACGGGTTAATATTATTTTATTATGAAAAAAACAGGGGTATTTTTTTTTCCTACAAACTTCAATTCCGGGGGGTGAGAGCAAAAAAATTCTGACTTTTTTTTTCTTAATGTATTTTTGGACCACCCTAGTGGCCACATGTCAGTAAAGTCAGGGAAATGTCACGGAAAAAAATATTTTGTCAGTAAAGTCAGGGAAATGTCAGGAAAAAAATTTTTTGTCAGTAAAATCAAGGAAATGTCTGGAAAAATTTTTTTGTCAGGGAAATTAAAGAAGAAGGGTAATGTCAAGAAAAAAAATTTTTGTCAGTAAAGTCAGGGAAATGTCAGGAAAAATTTTTTTGTCAGGGCAATTAAAGAAATTAAGGCGGTCATGCAATACATTTTTTGCTCTAAACAAAAAAATTTTGTCAGGGAAATTCGTTGTTATGTCAGTAAAATGTCAGGGAAATTGATAAAGTCAATCTTGCGGTCACCCTGGCAAATCTCCACCCACTACAATAAAGGCACGAGGCATGAGCACTTGCGTTTGGTACGGGTTCCTGGCAACTATGAAAAATTCAAACTAATTTTTTATTAAAAGAAATTTTCATTATCTATTATTTTAATCAAACCAAATACAAAAATAAATAAAACAATAACTTTTCTACTACTAGCATCAACAAAACATCGAAAAATTTCGATGAGGATACAATCAGGGAAGAAACAAGTAATCAGGATTTGCAGTCTTCTTTACCCGACGAATCAACAACTTCGCTACATATCGAGTCATCAACACAGACTTCGTCAGCAAATTCCTGTCCTTCGATAGATGTTAATCCAGCAATACCGAGTCCTGTGTCTTCAGCCGGATCATCTACGTCACAATATTTACATTTCCGTTCTTCTTTACCCGACGAATCAACAACTTCGCTACATATCGAGTCATCAACACAATCTTCATCAGCAAATTCCTGTCCTTCGATAGATGTTAATCCAGCAATACCGAGTCCTGTGTCTTCCGCCGGATCATCTACGTCACAATATTTACATTTCCGTTCTTCTTTACCCGACGAATCAACAACTTCGCTACATATCGAGTCATCAACACAGTCTTCATCAGCAAATTCCTGTCCTTCGAAAGATGTTAATCCAGCAATACCGAGTCCTTTGCCTTCCGCCGGATCATCTACGTCGCAATATACTTATTTTCGTGAATCGACATCAAAATTTCCATCAGTTTTTGTAGAAGCGCCATCAGAACGCCGATTTTCTCGAATACCCAACCAGTCTTCATTCACTTTTCTAGCAACTCCTACAAAATTAACCTCTGTAAGTTTAAAACCATTTAAGAATCAATCTGAAGTTAAACCAACAACAATTTCTCAATCTAGAGCTCCAAAATCACTTGAAATCGAGAAACCTCATGCTTTTCATTCTTCTATTACCCATGTCCCATCACAAATTGGCGATACCATTGATAACCCATCGCCGGTATCAATTTCTCCACCTAAAGGGCAAATATTGCGTTATCTCGCAGAACCTCATGTTTTTCACAGAGGTATTATCGAAAACCCATCCCAGGATAACGACACTTTTGGAAACCTATTACATGAACAGAACTTTCAATCTTCAGACATTTCATCTCCTCAATCCAGAGCTTCAAAATTACGTAAAATCGAGAAACCTCGTGTTTTTCATTCTTCTATTACCCATGTCCCATCAAAAATTGGCGATACCATTGATAACCCACCGCGGGTATCAATTTCTCCACCTGAACGTCCAATATTGCGTTATCTCGCAGAACCTCATGTTTTTCACAGAGGTATTATCGAAAACCCATCTCAGGATAACGACACTATTGGAAACCAATTGCATGAACAGAACTTTCAATCTTCAGACATTTCATTTCCTCAATCCAGAGCTTCAAAATTACGTAAAATCGAGAAACCTCGTGTTTTTCATTCTTCTATTACCCATGTCCCATCACAAATTGGCGATACCATTGATAACCCACCGCGGGTATCAATTTCTCCACCTGAACGTCCAATATTGCGTTATCTCGCAGAACCTCATGTTTTTCACAGAGGTATTATCGAAAACCCATCTCAGGATAACGACACTATTGGAAACCAATTGCATGAACAGAACTTTCAATCTTCAGACATTTCATTTCCTCAATCCAGAGCTTCAAAATTACGTAAAATCGAGAAACCTCGTGTTTTTCATTCTTCTATTACCCATGTCCCATCACAAATTGGCGATACCATTGATAACCCACCGCGGGTATCAATTTCTCCACCTGAACGTCCAATATTGCGTTATCTCGCAGAACCTCATGTTTTTCACAGAGGTATTATCGAAAACCCATCTCAGGATAACGACACTATTGGAAACCAATTGCATGAACAGAACTTTCAATCTTCAGACATTTCATTTCCTCAATCCAGAGCTTCAAAATTACGTAAAATCGAGAAACCTCGTGTTTTTCATTCTTCTATTACCCATGTCCCATCACAAATTGGCGATACCATTGATAACCCACCGCGGGTATCAATTTCTCCACCTGAACGTCCAATATTGCGTTATCTCGCAGAACCTCATGTTTTTCACAGAGGTATTATCGAAAACCCATCTCAGGATAACGACACTATTGGAAACCAATTGCATGAACAGAACTTTCAATCTTCAGACATTTCATTTCCTCAATCCAGAGCTTCAAAATTACGTAAAATCGAGAAACCTCGTGTTTTTCATTCTTCTATTACCCATGTCCCATCACAAATTGGCGATACCATTGATAACCCACCGCGGGTATCAATTTCTCCACCTGAACGTCCAATATTGCGTTATCTCGCAGAACCTCATGTTTTTCACAGAGGTATTATCGAAAACCCATCTCAGGATAACGACACTATTGGAAACCAATTGCATGAACAGAACTTTCAATCTTCAGACATTTCATTTTCTCAATCCAGAACTTCAAAATCACGTAATATCGCGGAACCACTTGTTTATCGTCAACCTCTTGATAATGTCTTATCACAGATTGACAATATTAACGATATATCATTACATGATATAAACCCCCGAATTATAACCGAATCATCTCGACAGAAAAAAAATCCTATTCCACCTCCAAAAAAACGACCTGAAAAACAATTTAATAAAAATTCACGGAAAATGGGAACTACTGTTCCGAGTTTTGACAAGTTCGCGGAAAAAAAAGAGGGAGAGAATTGATAAATTTGATAAGGTTCAAGAAGAAGTTATATCTTTCTGTCAAGATGCAAGAAAAATGAATGAACACGTTACAACTCTTACAAAACTGAAAATTTTAGAATCAGAACAACGTTTGAAGCAAAGTTGCGGTCACATTAATTCAAATTTTACAAGGATTGTAAAACCAATTCAAATTCGAGATAGATTTCTAGAAAATATTAAGTTAGAATGGGACAATTTGACATCAGAAGAACAGGATGATATATACCCCGAACTTCTTCTAATTTTGGAAAAATATTGTCATCAAGTAATCTAATGTTAAAAAATTACATTAATCTAAACTTTTACTAACTTTAAAATTCTGTTGAAAACAATTATAAGAAATGTTTACTACTACCTACTTGTTATTACATTTACAATTCTTGTTTGAAATGTTTGATTATTAAATTATAAAAATTCGATTCGTCATAAATGACTTTTATTTATAAAAATAAATTAAAATTATTGTGCTAATAATATATTATTATGAAAAAGTTTAATTAAAAAAAAGTATTACAATTATTGGTGAAATTAATCGAATTTCTAAATACATTATATTTAATTGAAAAAAATTCGAATAATTAAAATATCGCTAGAAGTGGATTTTATAATTTTTTATCAAAATTATTGAAAATTGTTGATTTAGAAAAAATTTCAGTTATTAAAAATCTAGAAAATAATGAAATTAAAATCACTTAAATAATTTTGTAGAAGTTACATAGTAGCATTTCTGATAAATTCAAAATTTCTAGAACTAGAAGATTACAGACCTTGAAATAGTCATTTTTAAGTGTTTTGTTAAAATCTTTGAAAATTAAGTTTTGAAACATTTTGCTTTATAAAAGAACATTAAAATATCTTTCTTTAAATTATTAATTTGCACCAGCTTCTGACATAAAATAGTTCATCAAAACTTCTCGTTGGTGAATTGCGCCATCACCAAATTGATCTTCTTCAACTTCTTCTTCTTCTTGTGTTTCTTCTCTGTCACCTATAAAAAAGAAATATTTAATTATTGTTATTATAAATTGACAGATTTATGTAATTAAAATTATTCTAATAAATATTCTTAGTTTACTATTTTAGAAATTTAATTTATTTTATTTGCTAGTTTGGAAAAAAATTGTTTTCTTAAAACTTGAAGAATCTAAAAAAAAATTTTTAACTGTTTTTTAATTTTTCTCGAAAATATAGTTTTATTTTAAAAAATATTAACTAATTGTTTGTTAATCTTTTATAGTATATGGGACATTCTATTTCAAAACGATTTTTTTTATAAACAATTGACATGGGAAGGCAATTTTTAAATAATTATTTCTACTATTTATTGAAGCCAAACTTTATTTCCCTGTAAACATTGAAATGGGCAATTCTTAAAAATTTCAGAAATTAATTAAATTTTACAACTGTTTTTTTAAACTTTTACACAGTTTAACTTCTGACATTTTTGTAAAATTTAATTAATTTCAAAAAATTTCCCTGAATTGACCATTATAATGTTTATAGGGAATTAAATTAGAATATTCAAGCTTTACTTTGACATAAATTTAAAATAAATTGGAGGCGACATATTTTGAGATATTTAATAAGTTTTCCAATTTTAATTTTTTCGATAAATTATATTATTTAAAAAAAAATGATACCATCGAAAAGTTCATAAGGACAATTATTTAAGAGGTGAGTCACTTTGAAATAAAATGAAATAGAATTTAAAATAAAATACATAAAATTTTCAGAAAAAATTGACCTCCCATAATCATCAGAAATTTGGATGTGTTGAAATTTCACTGGTCCCTCAACTAAAGTCTTACCAAAAACGAGGACTTCTGGTCTTTCCTCTTGTGTTGAGAAATCAATATTTTCACCACGTTCCATTCGCCTGGTAATTAAAAAATTATGCAAACAAACTGCTGCTAGGACAATCTTAATTGAAGTTTCCAATTTAAACCGTAAGGTTTGTTTTAAAAGCTGAAAAGTGGAAACCAAAAATCCAAAACTCGCCTCTATGGTATTTCTCGCTCTTGATAATCTAAAAATAATAATTTTATGGTTACTTTACAATGAAATTGTCACTTGAACAAAACAATTTTTTTTACGTATTTACTGTATTTAAAAAATTTTCTCATTATACCTTCGATTGAAATTTTCCTTAGCAGCATTTAAAATATTCCGACGAGCAAATGGAACCATGAGAAATTCTGTAAATGGAAATATCTCATCCCCAATAAGAAAAAATGTAGATTTTTCTTCGCTCCTTGGTAAAGTGCAAGGGGGTGGTACATTGGCGTTTCCTCTCCACAAATCCCTATAGAAATCGGTGTTAATAAGAGCCAATCGATCACTTATGGAGCCTGCAAAATAATTAATAAAATTACAAAAAAATTCCATATTTAAGCATGAAAGTTGAATAAATTATATATTTTTTTACCAAAATCTCCGACATCGACCCATGTAAAGCGACAAAATGCGTCACAGGTCGCTAACATTTTAAAGCTGTGGAATTTTTTGTAATTGTAATATAAACTACCACTATGAGGTGGCGGTTGAATTCTAAATTCCTTTCCATCCATGGCTCCGATAACATTTGGAAAGTCCCACTTCGCTCTGAAACCTGAAGCAATTACTTTCCACTCCCGCTGAGTCCTTGGTCGCAGATACCATGGCGATAACTCTTCCCAAATTGCAGTTGCAACTTCTTCCACAATTTTATAAGCTGTAGATCGACCAACACGAAAAAAATATTGAGTTGTCCTCACGCTATCTCCATTTGCAAGTAAACTGTAATATAAATAAAAAAATAATTAATTGTAAATAACAATAAATAAAATATAAACTCTAAATGAAATGTAAATAATAAATAAATAATAATAATAAACTGTAAATAAGGATCATAAGAATTTTTAAAATAGAAAATAAAGATTGCGTTAGAAAAATTTGTTAAATTTCCACTCAAAAAGGCTTTAGATAATAATGTGCATCAAATAATCTTCTAAAAATTTTAAAAAAAGTCGTTATTAAAATAACATTAAAGCAGAATTTAACATAAGTTTATATAATTTGAAATTTTTAAAAATTAACAATTGAATATTTAATTTAATTACATTAAAATTACATACTTCAAGGTAAGCGCCAAGCGAAGTCTCGTTGGCAGTGGTTTTCGAATGCTATGCTTTTGAAGCCTGTGTTTAATAAGTTGATGCAATTCTTCAAAATCGTTTGGTGTCATCCTTGTCAGATTATAGAATTCTTCATGATCCTCTTTCATGAAAACTAAAAATAGCGAATTGTATGCACCAAATATATTTCTCATTTCCTCCATTAAATGAGATTTCACCCACCAACGTCTAAACCTCAAAGCGCCCTTACATTTGCATAAATATAAAATTTTATGCAATAAACTTATCCACTGTACCATTAAAGAAATTAAAATTACGAAAAAACTCATTTTAATTGTCGACTTTTTTAAAATATGAAATGCAAATTGTACGCGTTCATAATAATTTTTGTTTACGAATAAATAAAACAACTGATAGTTAAAATATAAGGTTAGTAATTTTGATATTCTTTTGTTATTTTATAGTATGTTGTTGTTGAAAAAGCAGTTGAATTAATTTTTTGAAAATGTCTGATAATTTGGAATTAAATGAATTATTAATTCAAAATGTTAGTAAATGCCCTTTGATTCATACAAAAAAATCAAAATCATTTAAAAATAATAATAGAAAAAGAAAAGCTTGGGAGGATATAAGACAATCGATTTACGCAAAGTTAGGAATTAATATGACTGGTATGTAGTTTTTAAATATCAACAATTATACAATGTTGATAATAAAAATTATGTTACAAATTAATATGTTCTTTTAAAATATAACTGGCTTCACACTCAATAGTTAAATTTGATGACTAAAAAACTCGTTTTAATCGATTCACAAAAATCAAAAAAATTTTCATTCTGTATTTTATCACCCAGACAAAATTTAAAAATTAAATTACATTCAAAACATGAATAATTCTTTGTTAAATAAATATTAAAATACTTATTTCTGTTTTTTTAATTAAAATTATTTACTGTAATTAATAATAATTCAATTCTAGCGAAGAATTTTATAGAAATTTTCGAAAATAATTGATTTTCTAAGAAAATGACATTAAAATTTTTGAAAATAATTTTAATCACGCGAAAAATTTTAATAAAATTTTTTTAAATAATTGATTTCTTTCAGAAAAATTTAATGAAAATTGTATTTCAAATAATTGAATATCTGTGAAAATTTTATTATTTATGAAAATAATTGAATTTTATTGAGAAATTTTATTAAAACTGTAGATATTGAAAATAACCGTTTCCAAGAATGTTATTAAAATTTATAGAATAATTTTTTTGTTTCAACTTTTAGCTCATTTAAAGTAGTGCAAATCTCAAAAAAGTAACATTTAGTATCACAAATCTTAAAAAAAGTATCCAAATAGTAGCAAGTCATAAGAAAGTAGTAAATAATAGGTTTTAGGAGATGAGAGTGTGGAGTCTGACATGAAAACTTAATAAATTGTATTTTAAAACTTTAGAAAGTTTAATTTATCTATCATTCTTAAAAGAAAATTTCTAATTTAAATTATTTTAAATTTAGTTACAGAAGTAAAAAATACTTGGAAAAAACTTAGAGATCAATACCAAGCTGAACGTGCAAAAAAAAATTTGTATATTGCTTCTGGGTCTGGGGCTCCAGAGGAAGACTTTGAATTTCCCTATTTCAAAACTATGAATTTCTTGGAGGACACCCCACGTCATTCTAAGAACGTATATAGTCCTTCAAAATTTTAAATGCAATTTTGGACATAAATTTTTTTTAGTAATAACAGGCCTCGGATCGACTTCAAGACGCAAAAAAGTGACTGATCTCTAAATTTTAATTAGAAACTTTCAGAAAAATAATTTCTAAAAATTACAACTATAACCTTTACAAAATTAAATTATTTTCTACAATTTTTAACTAAATTTTTTTTTTTTGCAATATTTGGAAGAAAAATAGAAAAAATCACAATGTTTGAAAATTATTCGAAAAAAGTCTCACTTTTTGAAAACAGTCGAAAAAGTCATAATATCCGAGGCCTGTAATAACAAAAAATTATTCTCATTTCTTATGAATCTTAAGTTACTAATGTTTATTCAAGAAAAAATTTTATTTTTGCCAACTGATTATTTTAATATTTACAAGTAATTTTGAAAAAATTGCGAAATGATCCAAGCCGGGGAAAGCAGTAATTTTTATTTTTACAGAATTTTCGAAAATCCTGGAATTTTAAATAAATAATTTTTGAAAAAAGTAGAAATTACTGCTTTCTTCGCCTTAGATCCTCTTGCATTTTTTTAAATGGTTTGTACCATTAAAACAAACAATTAGTAACATTTAAAAAATTGCTCCTGAAATTAGGAAACAATAATTTAGTTGCAATTCCCGGAATGTTGGAAAATCCTCTACTTGGATCCTTTCGCAATATTTTTGAAATTGCTTCGAACATTAGAATAATCAGTTAGCAAAAATAACAATTTTCTTTGAATAAACGTTAGTAATTTCAGTTTCATTTTTTTTCCTAGAACAATATCTAGCTATACCATCAAAGAAATTGTTTGTTTGGAAAGTTCTACTGAAGATGAAGAAGTTGAAGAAGTTAATGAAAACGTTGGTGAAGTAGTCGATGAAGAAAGTGAGATTGTTACTGTAGATTCTCCTCGAATGAATCGGAGAAGAAGCACTTCTTCTTTTGAAACGATTGAAGATATGTGGGAAAGAGTTTTAATGGAAAATAAAGCTATATGTTTCACTGAAATTAAAAATTTAATAATAAATAAAAAAAAATGAAAAAAAAAATTACTATTTTAATAATGTAATTCATTTTCTATTAAAGTTTTTGTGCTTAATTACTTCCCTTAATTGTGATGATTTTCCATTTTTCCATTTTTGGCATTTTTCGAACCATCGTAGATAGTAATTGACGTCATCTACGGATAATAAAAATGAGCTATTAAAAAAAATAGTTAAAGAGAAAAATTATAATGGAAATAAATAATATTTAAGACTCACTTTGCAGATTTACCTTATTTAGTCAAGTAATGGTTTGCTAGTGCTGCAATATGTAAACTTATTCTTTCTTATTATTAATTATTTAACTAATAAGAGCTATAAGCAAAAAAAAACATAGCAAAAGCAAGAAAATTAAGAAAGAAACTTCAAATTGTTTAAATTAATAGCTTACCTTTTTAAATTAATAATCAAATGTTTGAATTATATTTCAATGTGTCCTGGGACTTTGTAAACAAACGTATCTAACCTCACTAACTTGAAATCAATACAAGTCATATTCTCCTGAAAATCTAATGACGATGTATTAAGATTTAAACCTACTTAATTTTCTTCAGAGCACATTTTTTTTAACACTTTATAATATAGCAACAATCGTTTTCATCTTTTTAAAATCATATGCAAATTCGCAAATTTGATAAAAATGTCGCTTTAAATCTTTAAATTTTCAGTTATGCCCAAAATTGCACCCTACGTTTACGCTACTGATAAAGATCATTTTTATTTCCCCTGACAGTTGGCAATACCAAAAACACTACACACTATACTACACATTACACATAGTTCAACACATTATTTTTTCTGTTGTAGACGCAGCCTAAAAAACTCTACGCAGTTCAATTGAAATGAGGCGAATAGACAACTTCATTAGTTTGAATTGTTTTGTTATTTAAAAGTATGACAGTTAAAAGAATCAGTCGATTTATTTTTATAATTAATTTAATTATTAATTAATTATTCTCATATCATTAAATAACAATGAATGAAGGTGAAGAAACGATAGTGGAAGAGACTGGAGAAAGACCGAACACATTTAAATACTTTTTTAAGGGTTACTGGTACCACAGAGAAAGCAGAATTCAACAGGTTTTTATGCAAACTTATCGTTGCTCAACCAGATCTGTGGGATCATGTTCTGGGGCATTGAAATTGAATACGGTCACAAATTTAATAGAAGTAGTTGCACATAATCATGGAAGTAATCCATTAGGACTTTTACTTCATCGTTTAAAAAAAGCATTATTAAATGAAGCAAGAGAAGCAAGGGGTCTTGTTTCTCTGAGAAGAATTTTCGATTTTGTTTGCATGAGGTTACTTTTTTTACGTTTATTACAGTAATTAATATATCATATTTGACGAGGATTTCCGAATATATGTATAGAAAATGAAATTTTTGACAATTTTTTTCAAAATTTAGGAAATATTTAATTAAAAAATCTTTTCACTGTAAATTTAATTTTGCTTGTTTAAAAAAAACTTATTTCTTGCATTAAGACGAATTAATTAATCAATATAAAGTTTATATTTAATTAAAATCTGTAGATTAATTTTTTTTTATTTTTGAAAAAAAATATTTTTTTAAATTGTACATCTCAATTTTTATATGGAGCAAAGTGTTTATGAAATGAACAGAAGAATTGCGTTTTTCAATTTTGCGGCAGTTTTTATCCTTAATAAAACATTAAAAAATAAATTTAAAAAATACAAAAGTATTTTAAAAAAAAAATTTCAACATTTGTCTATTTTTAAGCTAAATGAATATACATTCAAAATATACTAAAATACAGAAATACAAATTTTTCTAACTATTTTTTTTTGTAAAATTTATAATATTTAGATTTCCAGTTGAAGTATCTCGATTAATATCTTTTGAATCAGAACGATCCGTTATGAACCGTCAAATAGCGATTCACAGGGAACCTATAGGTCCAAATCTTCGATTGTTTGGAGAACGACTATTACAATTGAATTTAGAAATAACGCAAGGTATTTACCGAGGAGTTGTGGTTGGCGAAGATAATTCTGTGGGGTTAATATTCGCTTCAGACTTAATGTTTAATTTATTGGAAACGGCCAACTCATTAAGAATGGATGGAACTTTTGATGTTAGCCAATTTTTATATATTATTTGAATAACGAAGAATATTAATAATAGCATTTTGTCTTATATTTCTATATAGTTTTAGTAAATATACTTTTTTTCATTTCTTTCTTTTCATAATTTTAGAATTTATTCAAAAAGTCGAAACAATTTAAGTTCTTGCTGCAAATCCAAGATCTTTAAATTATTTAAATTCTTTAATTCTTTTATCTTAAAAGTGCTCTTGATATTTGATTTAGTTTCTGAACGTTTCAGAAATAAATAAAATATATTTTTTAACATCCATATTTTACTATTATAGTGTGTACCTCCTCAACTGAATGTTTCTCAACTTTATGTTGTACACATTTATGACGGTAAGATTTTAAACCTTATACTACAATATTTCGAAAATTGTATGTTGCGCTACTGTGGCCAAATTTGTAAAATTTGGGAATCAATTTTTATTGCTTTTCTTAAAAGTTAATGTGTATTGAAAATTAATATATAGTAGTATTAATTTCGAAACTAATATTTCACATTTGAGTAAATGTGGAACATAAATTTTTATTTTCTATTCCTATTAGTCATTTCCGGCTGTGTGGATCCTAATGGAGCGTCGAACAACAGCTTTATATACGGCAGTTTTAAATAAAATATTAGAATTAGCAACAAATTTAGTTAATAACTTGCAATATGTATTAACTGATTTTGAGGCAGCCGCTACAAATGCTATTCGTCTACTTTTCGCATATGTCATCATTAGAGGCTGTTGGTTTCACTTTATACAAGTGTGTAACTTATTTAAGGGTCGTCCATAAAACACGTGGACCCATTTTTTGTAAATTTCACCTCCTCCCCTATTTGTAACTCTGTTACATTTATTAGTGCCATTCTTTCTTCTTATAGTGAACGATAGCTAGACCCTGTCCTCTTGAAGTACCACGTGGTTTATAGAAGACCACTCTTAATTTAAAAAATTTACAAATAAACTAAAAATAAATGACAGATTTTAATTCAAGATTAAATTATACTTGTTTCTTAAACTGCATAGGCTCTACTTAGGAAATGGATGAAATTAGGTTTGCATAATGCACCGCGCGAAGTTCTTTGGATGTGCATGAGTTTACCCCTTCTTCCTCAAGTGTGCTTGGAAGCCGGATTAGCTATTATTCAAACGATAGCCGATCAAGTTGCACCTCAACATGTCAGAATTCTCGAATTTATGGCTTATATGCGTCAACAATGGCTACCACGTTCTCATATTGTTTGTGCATATCGTTGTCCAGTGCGTATCAATAATGAGGTAGAAGCTGTTAATCGGCAACTTTTGGCAAGATTTGGACATAAGCCAAATGTTTATAGATTTATAGGTAACTGTAATATATAATACTAGCTGCGATACCCTCCTTTGACGTGTTCTCAGTACTTTGATCGGTATTAAACCAATTACATTGAAGTTTTTTTATTCTAAATTAGCTACTAAAGTATAACATAATATTTCAGTAATACTAAAAATGCAACTCAAAAGGTATTATTATAGATAATAACCCTAATTTTACAAATAATATTTATTTTATTTATGAAAAGAAATTAATACAAAAAATGAAGTAATAAATAATTTTCAAATTAACAAATATAATAGCTCATAAAGTTTACTTTATTATTGTTCGTTTGAATATTAGAGCGTTTAAAAGAATACATGTCTGGCCAAGATTTAGATCACGAAAGACTTCAAGAAGGGCACCGAATAAGACGCAACAGAAGACCGAATTACGTTTTAGATGATGCTCACATTTTGCAATGTCAGGATAACTTTGATGTAGGAAGGTATCAATTTAAATTTAAAAAATACGAATTCTTGAATTAACTGTTAAAAAATACTGGAAATTAGTAAAAATTTTGAAATTTAAAGTGACCATTGTATAGATTTTTTTTAACAATGTCATATTATTTTTTAATTAGCAAATTACGGAAGCTTTTAAGGGAGAAGGGAGAGTTATGTTATTTCTTATGATCAATAGAAAAAA